AATTTTGTTGACAATGCAGAAATCGGTCAGAGAGAGGGTGCTTGTAGGCTGAGCAATGTTAAAAGTTATGAATATCCGAGGCTTATGTTTTCTAGATTTGATTCAGTTGTCCGTGCCATATCTGACTGCCAAACGAAGGGAAGTGGAAATATTTAAGCAAACACAGCGATTTGGAATTTCGTACAGAAAAGTGCTTCGAAGTTGGAAAAGGCAAGAGCAAAAACAATTCTTATTTTTATTTTTCCCATGATCCACTGTCCTCGTCTATTCAGGGCGAGCTTGAACTGAACCCTTTAGGTAATTCGTATCGTCTTGGGGTAAACGAAAATCAAGAACGGGCGTTTATCCCATTTGAGATGCATTTACCATATTTGAGATTCAGAGACTTAGTCTTCGTGCTAGGAGAGAAATCCTCCAAAAGATTCAAAAGACCGACTTTCTATGAGCCTCGGCATGAATAGCTGATATATTTATTTATATAACCTCATAAACCGTTCTTGTCGCGCCGATGCAAGGTTGGTAACGGTCTTCGTTGTCGTTGTGTTCGTGTTGTTGGTCGATGGCTGACGTTTCGGCTATTTCGCCTTCCTCAGAGCCTTGCAGTTACGAGTGGGACCCATACCAACTTCGCATCAGCTCAACAAGATCAGTTTATAAGATCATATAAATAAATATATTCTCTAAAAGACTGTTTTTAGTCTGCTATAAAATGTGACACGTTTATTTCACTACATCCCTGAAACTGTTGGTGCTGCGTTCAGCCATTTGACTACTAAGTGGAAAATTATCATTGATTGTTAGCGTAGATAATGGAGACTGCTCATTTCTAGACATCGGTAATCACAGTAGCAATCAAAGCAGTCCAAGGAAGACGAATATAAGTGCAATAAAATGCTTCCTGATATGTTAAAATGATTTGCGCTACGTTATGCTTATACTAGTTGATAATGATACCGTCTTCTGCAGGGTAGTTTGCCCTGAAAAACAAGTCGTCATCACCGGACATTCACTCTTATCGAAATTCACCGTCCTGTATATAAGGGCATCTCTGAGTGAGTATGGCTCATTCGAGAGAGATGCACCACTAAGGAATATCGGGCTCGATGCGAGGCCAAGACGCCACCTCGAGAACACTAACAATTGTGGACCATTGACTCTGATCATCGACTCTGAGGAAGACGATACTGTCGAACGTTCATCGAAAATAAAGAATGTTACCAACGTCGCGTAAGCTTATCGAAGAAGGAATGCAATAGAAAAATATTGAACTCACATGCTCGGCAATTCTCAAGGCAGAGTTTTTTCACCAACGTCTTGTTGAGTTTTCAGAAAATTTCTATATTAAAAACTTTCTTCATAAATAAGTTGCTCATTCTGAAAGCAGTATTTCCAAAAAAGAGAATACGAAAACAAAACGAATAAGGACCAATTTTAGAAGGAGCTAATTCACAGCACGGCGTTGCCTCCGCATTAATGCTGTTGGTGCGAAAAAAGAAAAGTAGAATTTTTATTAATGACAAGATGGCTACTCAGGCTTTTCCTAACCCCGTCACTGAAGGATTATTAATAGTTTCCTGTGTGAGGAAGGGCGCGTGTGGCGCAGTGGTTGGAGACGCCAGTGCGACACACACGTGGAATCGATCCGCGCGACCATGGCCCACAAGGCCTTCCATCCCTCCTGGATCGGCAGGAAGACAGCAGCACTCGCTCGATTCATCGGCAGGCCACTGCGAGTCATTGTAAAGGCCAGATATGCATTCAATCACCTCCAACGATACTTCATGAAGTCGAATGTACCGCACATCCCTCAGGGATTGATCAACACCGAGAGTTTCATCCTTATTTTTATCCTTCCAGTATAAGTTTTGTGCCGTGGAATGGCTAAAAAGTCTTCAATTTACTAGTTTACTATAAACTTTTGATTTTGATCAGGAAAAAGCAATGCCGTTGGCTGGAGGTCGATGACGATATTCATTGGCAATCAAAATATACGTTAAAACATGATGCCAATTGATTTAGCGGTAAAACAGTATGCAGCAGATGTGGTAAACAATGTGAAGGATAGCGATTGGACTTCTGAAGAAAAAGGGTATAATGTGGGACTAAGCCTGTCGTGTCTTGAGGGCACTCGAAATCCAACACCATTATCTGTCAGGTACTTCGTATCGACTGCCATACGTTTCATTACAATAGCTGAATCCTTGCGGATTCTTGAGGTTCTTCCACGGCCCGATTTCTCAACATCGCGAGCTCTTTAAAGTGTTCCTTTTTCTCCAAATAACGCGTGACGTTATGAGAACGGTTTCATCTAACAAAGGATTGACGACTAAGCCTGTCAGTCGCGCACTTCAACTAACACATCAGCTCATATAAGTGTTTTTACGACACCCCCAAGATTGGCGCTTAATGCTCAAACGCTATATACACAAACCCTCACGAGGTGACAAATACTGAAAAAGTGGGGAAACTATGAATTTTTCCAGCAGTCGATTCACGAACAAATTTCTGCCGGAAAAGTAGCTGTTGCTTGACATCAATTCGGTGATTGGCTTAACAAAGACTGCCTGTGGGTTTAGTTCCCTGTGAAGCGGGTTACGTCTGTCGATAATTTTGTTATACTAAACATCGCCTGCCCTACACCTTTTTTATCTGTTATATGGAATATTACTCTAGATAGGAAGAAAAAATAAGCAGTCTGATAGCAACCGGGATTATTCTAACCAACAGAAAATTTCCCGTTTCAGCAATTGTTCATATAGAAATGACACATCTGACATTTGCCGTTGATTCGGCGCTCAGCTCTTTTAAGCTGAGCAACGAACCCAATGGCCGAAAATCACCAGCGGCTTTGTTTTCAAAACTTTTTTCTTCCCCCTCAGCTTTCCACCGAAATTGTTCATAATACTGAAATGGTGCTGATGCGATGATGAATGTTCTGTTCGTTGGATGTGAATGGCGCTTCACAAAAATTCAAACACTAATTTCGTTACTTCGTCATAGTTTCAAGCTACTGGCGATCCGGCACTTTTAAGACAGCTTCATGGTCGCAGCTGACATGTGTTGCAATTTTTATTCGCTCCCTATTACTTCTTCTACAATTCACCTTATGATGTAGAATACAATCACAAAGATGCAGAGATATGAGCAAAACTGGAAGTGCTAGTTGGGATTTGAACACCTGATTGCCCTTTCTGAAAAGCTCATGTGCTCTCCACTGAACCAACAGAGGCTCTTGCTTTATAATCCTCCTAACAGTTTGCTTCTTTAACGGTGCTATCAGGAATGACATACGTTCCATAAAAGCAACCCAATCTATGGCAGTCGAAAATAAACAGGATTGGTTACCATCCAACCTACGCTTACTTGTATTTATCCTCTTCACTGGTGGAGCCGTACTCAGTATAATTTCCAGTCTTTTCTCTCTCGCCCAATCACCGTCCATGGTGATCGCCTTCTTCGAACATGGTGACGTCAGCAAGGCTCAGTGCGAATTCCTAGAATCGTTCTTGTCTGAAAAGGGCTTTATGAAATGATAAACCTATCACTTCAATAAAACGATATAAAAGTGTTTGTAAGTTACAGTGGATAAAACAGACACCATCCTTATTAAGGAAATGTGTAGATCAAATATCGTACCATACCCCTCAGAAAGGTTAAAGCGCTAGTCGCAAAAAGTTTATATAGAGCGGAATGAAGCCGTTAATAGAATCGATGTCTTACGTAAATTTTTTTAGTATGGTTAGAGTTTGGTTTTTTTAGTAATATTTTTTTTAGTACGACACACACGTGGAATTGATCCGCGTGCCCATGGCCTACCAGGCCTTCCATCCCTCTGGGGTCGGCAAATTGGTACCGCACTTGTCTGGGAAGATAACAGCACTGGCACAATACATTCCTGGCCTACCGCGAATCATTGTAAAGCCTAGATATGCATTCAATCACCTCCAATGGTACTTAATGAGGTCGACTGCTTGGCGCATCCTCAGGGTTTGATCAACGTCGAGAGCTTTATTTTTGTCCTTCTAGGTAAATTTTCATGTTTACGTTTACAGCGATTCCTCATTTTGACATGACATCATTTCCATTTGCTTGGGAAAAAAAGCTGCTGTAGATCGAAGTTGACAAAGTGTCCGTAATGAACAGTGAAAAACCTAAAGAGACGGACACATCTAAATGCGTGAAAATGGCGCTAAAATCTGTCTGACGCGTTTATGTATATTTAAGGTCCCAATTTTTTTCTTTAAATCTGATTTTCTACGACTATTTAGCTAAGTTTTATCAAATTCCTTGACTACATGTCAATAAGAGATTATGCTGGAGAAATGGTATTGGATCCCAAGGTATTGCTACCCGAAAGCAAAGGAGTTGGGTTGTCAGTGACTTCAGACTTCAGATTATTCAGATGCCTTCTAGTATTTTGTAGCACTTTGGCAACACTGCATTTTCGCAGTACTGGCTCTCCTTCAAGAGATTTCAATTGGAGTGGTCTCAGCTGTAGTTCTCTTTTCTATACCTCGCACCATTTCGAAATCGTCAATTGGCCGATAATATGTTAACGAAAATCGTTGGTCTACACACAAGATAAAACCCTTTATTAACGATGGGTTAAACGTGGTCGCATTTTATAAAAAGACAAATAATAAAAAGAGAAAGCTATAGAAGAGGAACGAAAAGCACGTTAAATGAATATTTCTAATGTGGCGTTAACATTTCCATAAGTCTCACGGAAGTTTCGTTGTGATATCAAGCATTCGTCAAGAAATGTCGTGGCTATGGAGAAACCGGAAGGCGTTGTTGTCAATTTTCAAACTTCACAAGTTGTCAATTTGGAAATGAATTTTATTAAAGGGTTTTCTTTACTAATCGGAAGTGTTTTGAGACATCACAGCTACTAACAGACATCATCACTTGAGTTGAGGTGGGAAATACTGAATGACTAAGCTATCTGTCTGCCTTAGCACTACAGCATTGACGTGATACACTGAGGCCGTACAAAGCGATTAAGAGAACTCATAGTTAGGATTTTTCTTGAAGTTCACACAACCTAAACAATCACAGTAAACGCTGCCTTTGCCACAATAGCCCGCTTTGCTGCAGCAGTATGCCTCACCATTCGGATTGCACTTCGCAATTTTTCCGGATGGAAGGCGCTTCGCATCGGGACCGCATTTTCCTTAAAATCTATGGCGAGATTTTCTCTAAGGAAGAGCGTTATAAATGAAAACTAAAAGAAAACAAAGTGAGTGTAAAGGACCGAAGAAAGCGATTAGGAGGTTATGAAGGAATTGGTTAACAACAACAGCCCGAATCTAATTTTCCACAAGCTGCTGATAAATCTTCGATAAAAGAACTCTTAAGGAGTTGGAAATCTGATTGGTTTATACTTGCTACCTATTTTTAAATCTATTTGGAATTAAAATTTCGGAAGGAAGTGGACGAATCAGCATTTTTGGAACTCCAAGCGAAACCTCAATAGCAGTGAACACATTTGGGGACATCATCGTATTCTCGTTTACAAATTCCGCTTCTTCGTTCCCGAAATATGAACCTTACCGAGAAAATGTGACAAAAATACTACTTCAGTACTCCACAAAATCAGTGCTTTATCGTGGAAAAATAAGAGATTTTGCCTGTCGTTGGCTAAAACCTGTAAATTTCAACGATCTCTGTTCCAATTTATAAAGTTCACTTTGAGCTGATAGATGTTGCTGTAAAGTTGAAGGCGGTCGTCAGTTTCGTATCAAGTGAATGAAAATCAGATCACTCTGAGCCTAACTGTTAAGAATGCAAAAAGGCCGATAGTTGAAGAAATAAGGTAAAGGAGAGAATATGTCAGGCTAACGGCTGCAGATGGATGTAAGAAAGCAATAACTTCCTTCCTAGACATTGTCTTGTATTTTTATTCGTATGATACGTTTTTATCTATACTGACCCCCACACTCTATACTATCCTTTTTTCTTACATCCATCATTCACTAACTGTATCCAATTCGGAACTGGATTTGTCCGCTTCTTGAGAAATTTGTGGCCTTCATGATTGTCGTCAAGTTGATTCTCTTTGGGATCCGAACTAGGTCTACTGGAGTCTTTCTTTTCTTTGTCACAGCATGAACTTCACAACTCTCTAGGGTGGTGGACTTGATTAAGTAGAGCCAGGAGCTCGAAATGACGATCATGTGTGTATTGTAACGCTCATCCAATCACTGTGCTACACGAGATCCTTCATGGCAAGATAAAGATGAAAATAACTGATAGAGAAAAAGGTAAGTCAAGCATGTAGAGCAGCTCTTAAAAAGCGGTGGGAAAACGGCCAATGACCTACCAACGTTTTCCTGGCTTTGGTCATATGTCCACCATTCGATCGGTTTGTATTGGAAATTACCTGTCTTCGAAAAATCCACACAGCCTACGCATTCACAATGTTCCTAGGAACAATAATAATAAAAATACAGTAGAAACAAGACCAATATAATAGGTTTAGAAGCTATAATATCTCAATAGCAAAAAAAAATCAAGAAAAGAATGCTTAGAAAAGGCAAGTATAGCATTTGGATTAAACTCACTACTTCAACTGAGCCTATTCAAAAGATAATTGAGGAAACTGGCGAGATCTCACCTTACTATTTCCACAATAACCTCCATTGCTACAACAATGTGCCTTCGGGTCGTCTGGGTTACAAATAGGAGGAATACCGTTGATAGGGGGAGCTTGTCTTCCACATCGGCCACGTCTACTTTCATCCGCATCCGATGTGTACCTTGGAGAAGAGCCGGTGTTCATTACTGATCAGTACTTCTATTCTATTTTAATTAAGTTTATCTTTGCTTCATTTTAATTTCTCCTCGCTTTTCTGTCTGCAGTTCACGATTCTTTCTGGCTCCAATGGAAAACTTATTATTAAGTGCTTATATATCAATGGAAAGAGCAGACAAAAAAATCCTATGAATCCATTGTTTTTCGTTTCAAGCTCATTTCCTACCACGTAATGTTTGAATGAGACGGTTTGATCGGCTCTTTAAGAAGCAGCATCGGATCGGCACCGTAATCCAGACATTCAGGACAATTGCAGTATTCCGCTCCAGAACCGCAGTAACCGAACTAAAATCCTAATAGCATTAGGCGGATTATAAATCTAAATATATATGTTCACTTATTTACAGTGTAGCACTTAAGTAGACATTTATTTACTTATGTGGCAGCAATAGTTTCAGTGATTAAGGATGCCGAAACCTTTTGGATAGCTCATTTAGAAGAATAAAGTTTCAATCAAACCGCCTCCTTTACCCCAAAGAATTATTTTCTGACCAAAAATTAGTGGCGAAAAAGAAAAACTGCTTACTTTTCCACAGCACGAATGTCCTGGATCGTCTGGATCGCATACCGGATAGTAGCCATTATACAGCGGAGCAGATTTTCCACACATGCCAGCTAATTGCTGAATGTATGAAGGTGTTGAGTAATGTTAGCACCGTTCTGTTTTTATTGATTTCTTTTTTTTAACTTCGTCTTTGTTTTTTTTAGAAGAAGGAAAAGGATAAAACGTTTGGAGCTGATTCAAACCGCATTCAACTCCATTCGTGGTATCATACAAGTGGTAGAATACATGCTCGACGTATATAATGACAACTAGGGTCCCACCGATATATGAAGTCGCTGGACTTCATCTTACTAGAAAAATTTAGCATTAATCTGCAAACTAAATGGACGGCGGGCTTGATTTACTTAGCGAAGCTAGTCAAACCAAACTCTAAATGAACACTGCAGTACAACTCTTATCACTGCTCACCCCTCCCACATGAATGCTAATACTTTATGGATGCCCATAACAAAATTAGTCCTAGGAATATAACACACAAGCGATAAATCATGGAATTTGCAACAGCCGCCTTTTCATTGTAGAGAAGATGCTTGAAAGAGTGAACGAAAAAGTGTTGCTGAAATGATCTTCATCTAAATAAAGATAAAAGAACTTAGGGACAAACTTTCACTCGACGAATCTTTACTTTGTGATTCTTCAGCGAATTCTATAAAAGGATCCGCTTCTATTCTTTGTATTGTTAGCATTTTAATCGATTTGCTAAATTTTTAATACAACCGGGAAATGTAAAACCCACTGAAGAGCAATTTCCTTTAATCCGTGAAAAAAAACCTCAAGGATTTACTCTGTTTTAGTCATCAATGGCAAATAGATGGCTTTTATAGCTTTTGCTTATTAGTCTAACTTTAAACCCATCAAAAGCTGTTTTTCTTTTCCTCCGTAGTCTTTCCAGCTGACTATCTTTCCAGCTATCGCATTGAAATCACTTATACGCTGCAAAAAATCCTCAAATTCTGACCTTTACCTGAACCTAAGTCATAAAAGAATAAAAGGATAAAGCTCTCGGCGTTGATGATTCCCTGAGGGATGCACCATGCATTCGAACTAATTAGGTATCGTTTGAAGGTGACTGAATGCATATTTTACAATGAATCGCGATGCCTTACAGATGTATCAAGCCAGCGCTGCTATCCTCGCATACAAGTTTTGCACCAAATTATCCACCACGGAGGAATGGGGGGCTTGGTGGCTCAGAGGCGCAGGGATCGACGCCATGTGTATTGCAGGCGCCTCCGACCACACCGCCACACATTTTTCAGCGTAAGCAAAAAGGGCGTTTGTGGCGCAGTGATCGGAGGCGCCTTGTAACGCATATGAGATCGTTCCTCGCGCTGCAAACCCATCAAGAATTCCATCCCTGAGCAAATTGGTACCGGACCTGTCTAGGAGGATAGCAGCACTGGCTCGATACATCGGTGGGCCACCGCCACTCATCGTAAGGGCTAGATAAGCATTCAATCACCTGCAAACGATGCTTAATGAAGTCGAATGCATGGAGCATCACTCAGGGATTGATCGACATCGAGAGTTTTATCCTTTTATCCTTTAAGCAAAAAGGTGCAATGTGGAATACACAATCCACTACACACCATTATAAACTTACTTCTCCATCCTCATATGTCCACCATCTTTGTTCATTAATTGGTGAACACTTATATGGCATTTCATTTTCTTGTCGGGACCTTGTACATAAGTCTCTCTGAAAAATTGCCTCAGATTTTATGACACAGTTACAAGGCCTAAGCCCAAAAAATCACGCAGTCTGGGAAATCTGGGGTAAAGCAGTGACATTACAAATTTCGATGTTTTCCAATAAGCTTAAGACACACGAAAACCCTAAAGAGGCTTGCTATTACATAATTTTGCTCGAATTGAAAAGTTATTCCGAAAAATTTGTAAGCCGGCTTAGAAAAATTACAGCAGATTAGGAGTAAGCATGTCTGAAAAGTGTAATAATTTTATGAAGGCGGCCCAGGTTTCGAAAATCGTGTATCGGATACCTCAGTGAGAACCTTAAGCATCATAAGTGAATCGTCATCAAAATCGATTGCCCAGATCACCACGCCACCAAAATTGTGATCTATGACGTAGTCAATCTAAATGTGTCACTGAGAAAGATAAAACCTAAACGAGCATCTAACCAAGAACACATTAAATTCAAATATTGAATGCAATGTGTTAAAAGAACGTCACCAAACGCAATTGTGTTATACAACCACAACGTTGCTCTATGATGGGGAACGAACGCGCTATTGTCCTTTCCGGGGAGTAACGCGTTCACCACCACACCATGCGGGTCCTTCGTTCCGCCTATCTTTCAGCTATTTCTGTTGAACTTAACTGGGTTTTATGCCGATTTAGACGCCCCGGATCAATCCCGCTGACGGGTGACTGCTGTGGCAAAGATCGATAGAAATAGCTGAGAGACAGGCGGTACGAAGGACCCGCATGGTGTGGTGGTGAACGCGTTACTCCCCGGAAAGGACAATAGCGCGTTCGTTCCCCACCATAGACACCTGAGGTCCAGAGTTTTGCAAATATCTCAGCAACGTTGTGGTTGTATTTCGCTTAGTACCCTGCCGCGAAATTATAGTAGGCAGAAAATAAAAAGGTATAACATAGCAATTGTGTTAATTGTTTGTACTGCTGGTATTGGATCCTAGCATTGGTTTACTCTTAGCTGACCTTTCTTACGGAAGCGTCGGACTGCTTCTCAGCTTGGGATAACTTGCAGGAGGGGTGAATGTCTCGCCCTACATCGCAACCCAACATCCAGGAACACCTCCTAGCCATGATGAGACGGTAAATGGTTGGGAGTTGCCATGATCCACCACCGTCCTAATGTCAAAGTAGTCGCATAATGGCAAACGTCCTGATCCACAAGGGCTGCGACTGCCTGTGGTGGTGACCACCAGGGACTGATTATGACTACTAGGCTGACCTCGAGACTCCAGAGTACCACAATGGCTAAATCTGCAAACTCCGAAAAAAGTGGACATTATGTTGGAGCCCGCACAATTAGTGTGGACGGACCATCCACTCACCCAAGAAAGGAAGTTTGTACTGCCCAGTGATGAAACGTATTGAGCAATTGACAATTTCGTGTAGAAAATGATAATTAATGGAAAAATGGAATAAATCTAGAGAAATAGCGAGCGAAACTTTATAGTAAATTGCTCCTACCTTATATGAAAGGCTTTCTGGATTTTCAAATCCGAGAAAAGTCTTGTTCTCAGAAATCCATAAAAATGGAGTTTTCGCTCTACTGTGGAATTTTGCTTGAGTTGTATTGAAACGAATTTGAATATCTCTCCATTGGACGTCACCTCCCTGGAAGAAAAAGAGAAAACGGCGATGAAAGAAATAATAGAAAAAAGAGAAGTGCTCAACGAGAGTGCTCAATACTTAGGGACTCGTTATGCGTTCTACTTCACTCGTAACATCGTTAAGATGACTAAATGTATACTTGGCGTTTACGTGTGTACGTAGCATGAGTTTATGGAACCGCAAGAAGATCGCAGTTGTAAAATTTGCACTAAGTTTCTTCAGTGAAAGGAAAAATGTCTCTGATATGATATAAAAAAATTTTTTGCGTGAGAATAGAATGTCACGGGTAAACAATGAAGGAGCACTGAACATATTCCGGGGTAAATTTGCATGAGAAATTTAAGAAAAGCATTTCTCTGCTCTGCGAATGGAAATAGAGAAATCTCGCCATTCACCTCAACACCACCTATGACACCATTTGTCATCCAATAGACACAAGTGAACTCATTTATCGTCGTCGTGAACCAGGATTACTCAGTGGGCTATGCCCAATGAGGAAAGACTTGGAGCAACACAGTACTGGCATAGAGCGTTTTTTGAAGTTTTTTTGGAATAAAATATCCAGCTTAAAGATGGAAATCTTCAACTATTTTTCAGATTGCTTAGTGCGGTAAGGTGATGAGGCGCGTGCAGCGCAATGGCTAGAGCCGCTTTGCAATGAACATGGTTTCGACCGCGCACTCCAGACTCAACAAGCCTTCTGTCCCTCTGGAGTCGGCAAACTGAAGCCAGACTTGTCTGAGAGGATAGCAGCACTGGCTCGATACATCGGTAAGCCACCGCAAGTCATTGTAAAGGCCAGATATGCATTTAATCACCTCCAACGATGCTTAATGAATGGGCATGCATGGCGTATTACTCAGATTTAGATGAACGCCGAGAGCTTTAACCTTTTTTAACCATGGTGAGGATAACTTCAAAATGGTATTCGACACCCAGCAAAACACTCACCTATCACGAGGTGCTGAATAATATTCGGCTGAAATATTCGGCACATGGTTACCAAAAAAGATGTTACTTTTATTCTTCACATACGTATGAAATGTGTAGCATAGTAGCCAGAGGTATACCACAATAGACGAGGGCTTCTTATATTTCGGGGCTTAGTGGACTACACCCACGGAATTTCCTCATATGAGAGATCTCGAACCGGTAAGTCGCGAGGCTCTGTGGCGCATCTATGAGTAGCGGATAGTGGTTTAATCGCGGACTAAAAGCGACCTTTGCTTCCCTGAGACGCGCATGGATTTCGACGCATGGACTCCCTGTTTCTTTCTGTTTGCACCGATTTGGCACATATTTTTTGTATTTACGAGGAGTGCTCATGCATGCGTGTGAGGGTGCGCTCTCGCTTATGCGGATTGTATTCTACGAGTCAATTCGGCCAAAAGCCTGCAATCAAGTGACGTGAAGTATAGAAGAGGCGGTTAGGAGTCGACTCCAACAAATAAGCTCCATCTCCACTCTAGGAGAGCCTGACAAGCTACCCGTACAGCACCCACGTTTAAAACCCAGCAAGCTATACGTGGGTATCAAAATGCTAAACACAGTAAGAAAAAAAAACGGGCCTCATTCCTCTAACTCCGAAATAGCCATCGATTCGGGGAAAGGCTGCTAAAATCTCAGGGCCAATGGAAACTCCTTGGATCGCGAAGAACTAAGGTGACGTTCTGTACCTACGATGCACGTAGACTTGCATCCGAGTCCTCGATAGAATACTTGATCACGCAAGCGAGAAGGATAAGGTCCGACATCATAGGCCTGGCCGAGACGAGACGACGCCACTAATTCAATGCCGTCTATGACACCGAAGAACAACTGTTCCTGGAACATGCGGCAGTAGAGGAGTCTGCGGCGTCGGCATTCTCGTCAACACTAGTTTGTCCATGAACATCAATTCATTCGAACAACTAACAATCCGAATCGGACGTTTACGATTGAAAAGACGTGGATCAATTTCGGCTTTGACAATCTTCGTCGTTTACGCGCCGACATCAAATTATGACGAAGAAGAAGTCGAAGCGTTCTATATGCACTTGAAGTTCTGCAGAGAAGACCATACGTTCTTCAAGGTCAACATTGGAGATTTAAACGCCAAGATTGGACCAAGAAGAACATCACATTAGGACCTGCGGATTAGAATGGAACGAGCAGGGTAAGCGGCTGTCCAAGTTTATCACGACGACCAAGACCATCCATGGTAACTCGCAATTCCAGAAGCCCCATCCTCAACGCTAGACGTGGGAGTCTTCCAATGGAGAGCGCCATAACGAAATATACCACATCATAGTAAACAGAAGGTTTTGGCTAACCGATGTCGATGTTGTACCAAAATTCTCCACGGGATCAGACCACCGCCTCCTTCGCGTAAGATTCCATTTTCCAGAAGCAGTCATGAAGCTCTAGATAGTCAAGGAGCCCTACTCAGTACATAAAGATTCCTTCTGAGCTTTACGAAAATTTCACAACCATGACGCCACCATTGAGAACGTCATGCGAACATTGGAATGGGACAACGTGGGAGTGAAAATCCATGATCGGCAATTACAACACCTTTGTTTTGCTGATGACGTCGTTTCTACAACACCAAACATTAGCCAAGCGGAACGTATGCTTGCCGACTTTGATAGAGCTTGTGGAAAGATTGGTCTTCGACTAAATCTCAAGAAAACGATGTTTATGAGGAACGGGTAGTGGTCTCATATGGCCCATTAACGCTGAACGGAACAAACATCTAACTAAATATATAATAACTCCGAATGATCCAGTTACGTCTATCTACGTCGGGAAATTAACCTGATGAACGACTTAGCTCCAGAGTCGGGCAGAAGGAAACGATCGGCCTGGAGAGCTTTCAAGAGCATCGAAGATGTAGTGAAGAGGACAAAGAACACCTGACCCTGTGCACACCTTTTCGACACAATGGTTGTTCCTGCCTTTACGCATGCGTCAGAAACGTGGTCGCTGCGTAATCAGGATGAAAGCTCACTCAGCGTTATAGAACGCGCAGTCGAAAGGACGATGCTAGAGTATCGTATCCCGTTTCACACAAGTAAGGGAAGGGATCCGAAGCTTCGACTTGCGTAAACGATCAAAAATCAAAGATACCGTTCTGTACACCAAACAGTCGAAGATAAGGTGAGCCGATATGTAATACGTAAGAACTTCAACCAGTGGACAAGAGCCGTTAGTGACTGGAGTCCTCGGGATGTCAAACGTACTGCAGGAAGACCACCGACCCGATGGTCAGAGTTCTTCACAAAGAGCCTTGAAGAATGATATGAAGTTCGACAAGTCCCTAGAGCGAGCACAACCCACTGGGCTACTGTTGTACGCGACAGGAAAAAATGGAAGATTTACTGATGCCCGTCCGACTCACTCGAAGATCAACGGAACGACAGGTGATAGACAGTGGGAAACACGTTGATCTGATCCTGCATTCTAGGCAAACCAAACAATTGAGCGTTCAACAAATTGATAACAAGGTTTTCCAGAAAGATAAAGAACACTGGATTTACACATAGAAAAGACACTGAAAGTCGTCCTAGGTCAATTATGTTCTTAGTCACTTTTACGATGCTACAAATGAAATAGTTCCCATTACGCATAGCTTAGAGATTATAGTCCTACTGATCGAGACCGAACTTTTTATGCTCTACCTCTCATCTTTTATTATCCTATCTCAACCTCTACCTCACCTCAAACTTTGTGTATCCATCGCTGGGAACCGCTGTCCTCCACATTTCATCTGAAGCGTCCACAGCGTCACCGACGTTGTACCAGTATCGTCCATAAAATGGAACTCCCATATTCAACTGAATGGATATCAATAAAAGAACAAATAAATAAAGGTAATTGTTTCTACACTTCAACCATGTCATTCTCATCCAAATTTAAGGATTCTTATGTTATGAAATTACTATTTATCGTGAAGTGGAAGGAAATTGTGGGTTTATAAAATCGAACTATAATGGAAATTTCCACACTTACCTTACTTGTGCTTTTAATCTGACAGCTGTAGTACTTCATGGTAGCGTCCACATTCATTCGACCAGAAAACCTTAATGCTTATCCTATGCAATTGTAGAATGAAAGCTTCAAGTGTTTTTCTATACAGTATCAACCTTGATTTCCAATAATTCTATAAGTATTTTCAAGCAGCATATTACAATAGTTTAAGAAAAAGACTAAATACAGGTTGTAATGCTGAGATATTTGCAAAACTCCGGACCGCAGGTCTCTGCAGGTGGGAACGAACGCGCTATTGACCTTTCCGGGGAACATGGTGTGGTGGTGAACGCGTTACTCCCCGGAAAGGACAATAGCGCGTTCGTTCCCTCCTGCAGACACCTGCGGTCCGGAGTTTTGCTAATATCTCAGCATTACAATAGTTACATTTCTCAAAATACCTTGCCGTTAAAGAAAGCAGTAAATAAAAAGTTAGAGAGAGTTAAATAGAGAGTTAATATGACAGTGATACAGAGTTATTTGCAAAACGCAGACCCCATGTTAGACTCGAACCCGCAATAACCCTTCCCGGATACTCACGTGCTACCCACTGCACCACTGTGGGCATCGTTCTGCTTTCCTCTCAACAAGTTTTTTACCCTAACGTGCTTTCAACAATCACCCGCCAATGGGAATAATATGTGCAACACAAATAGGAATTGGATCTAGTTAAATTGAAGCTAATAAAGTGTCTAAGAGAAGGCTAATGTAAGAGCGTCATTGGTGCTGTGGATAACACGTGAGCCCCAGAAAGGGTAATTGGGTTTGAATCTGGTTTTGGGTTTGAAATTTACGGATATCTTGGCATCACTGTCGTTGCATTTCACGTAACACGGTGCAATAGAAAATATAAGTTGGCAGTAAATAAATAGATGACATACGTCATAAGGTTACTGTCAGTTTACGAGAAGATTGGACAGAAATTTGTCTCTCGGCGCCGAATTATGCTAGACCATATGGCTCATTTTCTAACAGGATTATTCGTGCTTATGAGCAGTCCCTTTTTTTTGCTAAGTCGTACGGAGTGCTAACAGCGATTTATTCCTTTTCGGATTGTTTGTTTTCTACAAACCTGTTTCACACTCTTCTATTCAAAGTGTAATGACTAGTTATGTGAAAACACCACGAAGTTTATTTGTCTAAATATTTCTGGATTTTGGACTCTCCTAGTCTCAGCGAGCAGTAAATCATACTCGGTTTACCGTAAGAAGAACGGAGTCGTATCCGATATAAGATACTATCAAACGGTGTGAAGTGATCAATTCTCAGATACATTAAGAAGATAGAGCGTTTCGGCAAAAAAACAATCCTTGAAGTTAATTTTGGCGTTCGGCGGCAACCGATCCACAAAACGTGGGCCATGCATTCGACTCCATTCGTGGCATCGTACATATGACTACTCAGTCATGTTCAGTGTATGTTTGGTTTTCTCAGCAAATTCCAAAGGCATAGCGATGCATCGTGTCAATGTTTTGATGCTATCAGATAAGCTCGGTATGAATTTGTCGAGCTCGGAGAGATTGAGGATTTAGTTTTCCTGAGGCGCGCAATTGTACCAACCACGTGTCCATAGAGAAACACTTGTAACCACAACGCTTCACGAAGGATCGCAGTACTTGGCAACTTTGCCTTACGCAGTAACTTTCCCCGGCTTTTTAACCTTACTGACCACCTATTAACACACTTAGACTGTGAAACAGAAGCTGCAAATAAGGGCGCATTGATTCGCCGAATGAACAACGAAACATTCGTGAACTTAAAAGTATAAAGGATAAAAGATAAAGCTCTCAGCGTTGATCAAACCCTAAGGGATGCGCCATGCATTCAACTTCATTAACTTGAATGCATATCTGGCCTTTACAATGACTCACGGTGGTCTAGCGATGTATTGAGCCAGTGCTGCTATCCTCCCAGAAAAGTCTGGTACCAATTTGCCGATCCCTGAGGGATGAAAGGCTTGGTGAGCCATGGGGACGAGGATCGATTCCACGTGTGTTTTGCAGGGCGCCACACTCGCAGTGGTTAAAACTATAACTTAGACGGATATAACTGGTATAATGCTGAGATATTTGCAAAACTCCAGACCGCAGGTGTATGCGGTGGGGAACGAAAGCGCTATTGTCCTTTCCGGGGAGTAACGCGATCACCACCACACCATGTTCCCCGGAAAGGACAATAGCGCGTTCGTTCCCACCTGCAGACACCTGCGATCCGGAGTTTTAAAAATATCTCAGCATCATTAAAGTTATATTTTGCAACATACCCTGCCATTGAAAAAGAGTAGGCAGTAAGTAATAAATTGGAATTTAAACGGATATGTCTAAAAATACCTATCAAAACGGATTCCGTACCATCTAATACCAATTTCTTCGCTCTTCGTTATTCTCATATCTACGACACGGCTATAAATATAAGAAGAAATAAGGAGAAGAAAGGAAGTCATTATGTTTTTTTTACACGACTCGCCTTCACATTTACTGTGCGATTTCCAGCACTCCTTTCACTGATTTCAGTTTCTCGCTTCCATTATCATAGAAGGTCTCCGAACTTTTCACTTTGTGATGAAAACCATTGATTCCTCCTGCAGCCCTGAGGTACTGGAGCAGGAGCGTTTCCCACTTGGACGGGAAAGCGTAAACTTTTCCAAGACAAGTCTGGTATCAATTTCTCGACCATCAACTACGGGAGCATGACAGGCGCGGTAAGCCCGAAGCGGGGTCGAAAAAGAAAGAAAAAAAGAAAAGCATTAACATTTTTATTGATAGGAACATGTATTAAGTTCTAGCCACGATTTTTTTTTCATAACGCCGACTATTAGATCGGATAGAAGAAAAAGACAAGTCTCACCTTCGAGGTGTGGCATAATATAACGGTGCCGGTGGACCAGTGTACGCTCCCCATTTCGACTGCCACGCACCAAAGTAGTCATAGGACATAACATTAATAAAATCAACATATTTTATTAGTTGGACAAGATCGAATCCTAAAATAAGGTATTTTCTGTATGAGAGAAACCCTCTTTTACTTACAAATTTATGTTTCTTTCAAAGTTACATAGAACTCTAAGAGCGTTCTTTATTCCTACAACATACTATCTGAGGGTCATCTTCAAAAAGTGTTCCCTATTGCCTTATTCACCACGTATTTTACTAAATATATAGTCATTCTCCTTTTTACCCAATAAACACACAAATCCTCCCAACGGTCTACCGCCTCATCGTGGCTGGGAGTGCTCTTGAGTGTCGGGCTGCGATGCACAGCGAGGGATTCATCCCACTTCCAGTGTCCAGGGTCTCACAAGCTCAGAATGAGACAGGTGTTTCCATCAGGAAGCCTAGCTAACAGTAAACCAATATCAGGATCCACCACCGTCGTGGTAACAAAGTCGCATGGTGGCAAATCTCTCTAATCTACAAGGGCTGCGACTGCCTGTTGTGGTGAAGGCCTGGAGCAAACTTTGGGATGGAGTCTGACCTCAGGATTCTAGGGAACCACAATGGCTTACCCAGGAAATCTCTGAAAAATGGAGATTATGCTGGGGCCGGCACAACCAGTGAGGACGGACCGTTCAAGTATCAAGTAAGTAAAACATAAATCATTACGTTTTGTAGTTCTTCTCAATCCACTTTCTTCTTATGTACTTTGCTTTTTTCTTAGACTTCCATTCTTGTTCCTACCTGGCTTTAGTACCCAATCGCCAGCCGCTCCAGCGAAAGAGATTAAATACGGATTCGATCTGTACGCACTTTCTTCTTGACCTCTTAGTCGATTTCGTAACTCTCTCATTAGATGAACATAATTTCTTCGATCAGCCTGTATATGAACAAAAAACACAAAACAAATTATTACGAAAAACGAAAGGAAGACTAAGTTCAGCATTGGCAATCATTCATTGGAAAATGAAATGTTCGGACGAAATTCTTTCTGGGAACTTCAGATTTTATTAAATTTTTAAGTTTAGAGTAGCTTTACAAAGAGGGCGTCCGGGACAGTATTCGTGTTGCATATCGATGCCTATTGAACACAAAAACTACTGATATTCGCGCCAAAATAAACCGCCGATAAGGACATGCATTGGGCTCAATGCACTTGGCCCACTGACCAGCTAATAAATGCGTTGATATTAACAAATACAGTCATTTATCGGCTGCAGGTGTCGACATTCAAGTATTTCTTGAATAGATTACGTAATAATTTGGGGCGCATGTAGCGCAGTGATCGGAGGCGCCCTGCAACACACATGTGGAGTCGGTCTCCGCGCCCCTAGCCCATCAACCCCTCCATCTCTCCGGGTTTGGAAAATTGCTACCAAACTTGTCTGGGAGAATAGCAGCATTGGCTCGATATATCGGCAGGCCACCTTGAGTCATTGTAAAGGCCAGATATGCATTCAATCACCTCCAACGATGCTTAATGAAGTCGAATGCATGGCGCATCCCTCAGGGATTGATCAACGCTAAGCACTTTATCCTTTTGAGCTCTAATAATTTTGAGACGATACAAAATTTCTAAAACTTCCCACTAACTTTGAAAACTCATATATAGTTATTGATTTTTTTGAGATTTTAATTCTGATTTTCATTCTCGGTAAAATAAGCGTAGTAACCAATATTAAAAAAGAAAATCTACGTACTTTGAAACAGACTGTATAACTAATTTAGTATAAAAGAAAACAGTGATTAAAACCAAAGAATATTGATTTATAGGAACAAAATATTTTTTGACTGCCTGAAGACCTTCATTGGCTTAATTATGGCAACGCAGTTTTTACTAATGAGAATAAGACACTTACCGGTATTCCCTCAACAGAACCTCCTGTCACAGGATACTCCCAATCAATATCAACACCGTCGAACTCGTACTTCTGGATGGTTTCAATGATATTGTTGATAAGAACTGCCCTATAGAAAGCGCATTAAATTATTTTTCTCATTATTGCGACTGATTTCATCAAGTTCAATTCGGAAAGCGAAGTAGTTAGAGCATCCAATCAATATATGCGTGGTTCCTTGTTGTATGCTGTACGGAGCCAACCAATAAACCTCCGTTCGCTCCTGAACTGGAAAATTGGTTTCAGGCCTGCCTAGGTAAGGTCTCTTCAAATCTGCAAAGACTGGCGACTGCTTCCGTAATGAAGACTTGGAAACATTCCTTCTTTACGTGTGACCCCACATAACTCACGCTGCGGATACCAGCACATCTCACTTGAGAAATTTTTCGTCTTCGTCACGAATGTCGTTGAATGCTGGACGATTTGATTCTCATTGGAATCCGAGGATAGCCGTGATAGAGCGTTCTCACTTAGATTAAAAGGAATGAGCTTGTATTAAACAAGCCTGCTACCAACCAATTCCCCAACCCAAGACGGACGAGAAGCTTGGTGAACTTGGTGCGGTGTTAAACCAACGTCTAGGTAAGTGAAGCAGCTGAAATGAACAGTCTAAAAGTGTTATGACGGGACACCAAGAAGAATCAACTCGACGGCATTCACCGTGAAAAAGAAAGGGTCCTCAAGTGGCAGGCGAACCCATAAACGAATCTGGTGATTTCATGGATCAATGAAGAAAATGAGCAGAGTGGGAAAAGTGATGGAATCCACGCAACAGATGCCAATATGGGTTATGCCTACTTAAATACTTAGATGGTCCTTCCTCAATGGTTGTACGGGCTCCAGCATAATTTCCATTTTTTCGAAGTTCTCTTGGTTTAGCCTCCGTGGTTCCCTGCGGAGCCGGCGTCACTTTAGCCAAAGTCTTCCCCAGGTCGTCACTGCTACAGGCAGCCGTTCCCTTGTAGATCAGAGGGTGATTTGCCACCATGCTTGTCTGATATCAGCACGGTGCTGGATCCTAGTATTGGTCATGGGACTGGGTTATACAAACAAATAAATATAAATAGCTTAATACCAACCGTTGACGATGATCAGATGTAAGCGATGAGAAGTGCTGTGAATTTTCCCATCCACCAATTGCAAAAAGCACTTTTAAGTTAACATGGCGCCTTGCGATCTAAGAAGGTTATCACTTTTAAGTAGAGTAGAACTGAATTTTTCAATGAAATATTTTCTCCCACTGCTCACCTTGCCTAGCTGTTATCAGTATCAACTCCTTCATTACCTTCCTACTTCCTCACATGGTGACAATTTTCTCTATTTATCCTTTCATCCACTTCCCTCCCAATGATGTCATTATCGTTTTCTTCTCATATCTCTTCGTTTCATCAATCTTCTTTTTCAAATTTTCTTCCACTTGTTTCCACTCTTCACCTTTGTTTCTATATTTTCCCTTATTCTCTATTTTTTCGATATTTTTTTACCTTCCTCTCTCACTTCGACATAATTTTCCCTCACTTTTCTTTTTTTTCTCCTTTTTTATCATGCTGGGTTTACTCATCTTTCCTAAGTATTTGATTCTGTCTTACTCCGTGATCTTCTTTTCTGCTTATTTTGCCTTCTGTCAACTATTCATCCTGCTCTTTCGTTCTTTTCTTATTATTTTTGATATAAATAATTGAGTTTCTACTAATCTGTTCTCTCTCCAATTTTTTAAAGTAAAACAATAGTTTTATATCAAAGAACTCAGAAACTCACTGTCATGACTTCGTCGAGTCTTCTTTGAGCGGGTTCTCCTTCGAGATGAAGACTTCCGTCTGATTCCATCTTGAAAAACGCAAACACCAAATGTGTGAGCCGTACAGCCTCAAAAGAAAACTTGCAAGAATAATACCGCATAATAAACGTCGAATTCTTAGAAGTGTCTGGGTGAAACATTTCGAAGGAGTCACAGTATCGCAACATTTGATCATATTTTTTATTTTTTCTTATTTTATATGACCCGTCTTCACGTTTGCTGTGCGGATCCCACACTTCATTCGATTCCTTTCCTCGCATCATTGTCCACGCATATCTTCCAACTTTTACGTGTGGCTTCGGCTACTGCTTGAGGATTTTCATTTCATCTTGAATGTTGTAGAATGCTGGTCGAGCAATTCTCCCTGGAGTCCTAAGATAGTTAAAGTGGGGCTTTCTCAATTAAATTGCAGAGAGTGATTTTCTTCCCAGACAAGTCCAGTACCAATTTTCCGACCTCGGAAGGATGAGAGGTTTGGTTAGCCTAAAGCGGAATCGAACTAGGACCATTGCTCGTGATGACAGGCATTAGTACCACTGTGCTATCCGCCACTAATTTGATCTTATCATAACTCGAAGTTCACTTGACTAGTAAAATAAGATGTTTTCACGATGTCTTCATTAGCATTGTGTTGACCTTTTCGTTTTTTTGCTTGACTTTTTAGACTGTTACTCAAAACTTCATTTACAAACCAGCAACACTCTGCCGGTTTGTACCTCAGTGATTTAACTTTTACCATTCCACTATATTATTAAAGTTATTAGCAGTAATACCCAATAGAACAATTGTACTTAAATAATTATGGTTATTCAGGTCAAAGCCTTAGTGCAAAACAAAAAGGGAAAGATTGCTAGATACTGAAAACTGCACTCTTCTTTTTATTCCCGACAACGGCCGACGATCTCTTTGTGGATGGGTATGTAACTACAGCTAAAAGATACGGAGAGTTCGTCCAGCACCCCAGATAGGTCGTCGTGCATAAGAAGTTGTTCGATATTACCATCCAGAAGCGCAACTAAGCGGGAACCTATGCTATAATTGAACCTATCTAGCTTCTCATAGTTATTCTAGCAAAAGCCTTGGATAAAAGGAGGTTCTTCATGCCCTTAGAATAAACGAACCTATTGACCAGTTCTAATGGTCTGCGAAAGCGAATGGAGTTTGTTAAGAGTCTAGCTCGACTTATTTGATAAGCCACAGTTGATACAAAGGATAAAGCGCGAGACGTTCGCCGTTGATCAGCGTCTCATTAGGACGTACCGTGTATTCGAATCCATTCGTACCATTGTAAAGTTGATCAAATACACATCCACCCTACGAACTGACTCTTAAAAGCCTATCGATACACGGATTTTGTGTTTTAATCCTATCAAATAAGTGTGGTATCAATTTGGAGGCCAGGCATGTTTAGAGGGTTTGGTTAGCCTAACGCGCGAGATCGAAGCAACAACCATGCGTGTATTGAATGGCACCATTAATCACTGAGTGATTCACTTCCCGCAGACGATATAGTTAATCTATTTATTCATTTACGTTAGTGACTTTCTGTAAATCTAGAATAAAACAATAAAAATTCCATGAAGTGTTGCTTACTTGCTCATCGGTGAGCGAGACATTACCCCACGATGTGAGATAACCAACAATTCGACGTGAACACGGTTTCCCAGATTTTCGAGCCTCTCCTAGAATTGGGGTATTTCGAACCTTTCGTTAAAAACCAAAAAACCATTAATTAATTAAATTGACTAGAAAGTCGTCTCTCTTCAGAATTTTGGAAAAAATTTTCACAATAAAATTAAGCTTTTTGCCAACTTTTTTTCTCTGATTGCGCCTTATCACGAAAGAAATATTGTAAGAAATGTGAAGTGTAGACATTAATGAGGAAGGAAACACAGTGCAAAATAAAAGCCTAGTATAAATAATTTTCAAATGATGAAAAACTTTCGGAAGCTTTTCGCTAAAAGAAAGAAAGACGAAATTTGGCTTGACGTAGTGGGAAATTAAGGGAAGGAAGAAAGAAAAACACTACCGTAGTGAATTTGAAGGACGAAAATAGACAAAATTGATAAAAGTCCTATCAACATTGTGGAAAAGTCGTCGACAGTTCGTTGAATAAGAAATAAATCGCCGAACTCGGCTCGGTTCTCGTACCGGCTGCGGTATTTAATGCTCTACGCTGTTGATGTTTACCTTTTCTTGAACAAAGAATTGATGAAAGGTGAAGTCCGTTACCAGACAAATGGACGTCTTATTGAGTGCTGAAGTTACAGGAATAGACGAAGCCAAATATTTCTTCGACTCCCTCAAAGAAGTTGAAGAATTTCAGTTCAGCAATCTACCTTGAGAAGAGCAGTGGCTAGAAGTAACCTTAAACAAACAAACAGTTTGCGTTGGGGAACGAACGTCCTATTATTCTTTTCGGGGCTCATTTACCATCACACCATGCTGCTCCTTCGTTTCACTAGTATCATAGCTAGTTTTCTATCTACCAGTGCCATCAGCAATCACCCACCAACGAACCTGATCTAGAGAGCCCAAATCGGCGTTGAACACAATTAAGTTGAGGCTGCAGTTAAAATCACAACGTCAGGATTTTATCTGCTGTCTGCTACAGTTTTTCAAAGCAGAGTATTGTGTGAAATACAACCATAACGATGCTAAATTATTGGCAAAACTGCGGAACCGCATGGTGTAGTGCTGAACGCGTTAGCCCCCGGAAAGGGTAATAGTGGGTTCGCGAGTTCGTTCCGCACCGCGGACATCTGCAGTCCGGACTTCTACAAATACCTCAGCATCATTATAGTTGTATTTCACAAAATACCCTGCCATAAAACATTGTAGTACGCAGTAAATAAAAAGTGAATAAGTAACAACTAATCAATAAGTAACTAAATAACCTACTTGTAATATATGTGAGCGAACAGTTGACTAAACATAGAGCGGCTTATATACTACTACGGTTTTTTTTGCTTTGCATGATTCATACTATACTTTTTTCAGTTTGATGTGATCGGTCTACTGCTGGCTTTCAGGACCATCAAAGCTCTTCGCCTCTGCAGCATAACAGAGCGCTGGGAAGACCGTAGAATCAGAGAGATGAGCGCGGATTTTCGGGTCCTTTAGCTGGTCGGTGGCTTCCTTAAGAGGCCCGAATGCGGCCCAAGCTGCTCTCCTTCTTCTATCTAGTCCTTCATGTTGCTTTCCATGTTCATTGATCGCCCCAGGCATACGTACGATGTGGTCTCAGCAATGAGAGAGCCATCCAATTCAATTCTTTGGCTTTGGCAGCATGGGTTCTACATGAACTGGGCCTTCTTTCGATTTACGTGAAGTCCGATCTTCTTCCCCGCCTCGTTGAGCTCGTTGATCATCTCCTCTGCTTCGCTAGTACGTCTTGAAAAGATGACAACATCGTCGGAGAAACGAAGGTTTGATAGGAATTTTCCATCAATACGTATGCCTTTCTCATTCCAATCGAGTGACTTCATTATCCACTGCAGTGCGGCATTGAACAGCTTTGGCGATATTGTGTACCTTCGTCGAACCCCTTTCTCTATGGGTATTGTAAGAGGTCGATGAAAAAACTGTATTTTCGCAATGAAGATCCGATAATAGTCGAACAGAGTCCTTATGTAGGAGGGCTCCGCTCCTTGGTCGACGAGCGCTGATAGGATTGCATTCGCTTCGACACTGTCAAACGCTTTTTCATAGTCGACAAAGGAGAGGTAAGTGGTATTCCCGACAAACTTCGATGGCCCTGGACACAGTTTGGATGTGGTCCATTCAGCAGAATCCTTTTCGAAATCCTGCTTGTTCGACTGGTTGTGCTTCATCCAATGTCCTTGATATGCGCAAGAGGATAATCTTCGTGAAGAGCTTGTAGAGTACGCTCAACAAGCATATGGGGCAATAATTACGAAGATCTCTTCGATCTCCTTTCTTGGGCAGGATGACCGTGCACGACGTCCTGCAGTGGTCTGGGATTTTTTCCTTTTGAAGGTAACCTGTCATATAATCTGCGAGAAGTACATGTAAATTGTGGCCTCTAGCTCTAAGGAAATCGGCAATGATATTATCGGGTCTTGGAGCTGTGCCTCTCTTTATGCTTTCTATCGCAACTCGAACCTCCGGCGAAAGAATTCCAAGTGGTTTTTCTCCAGCAGGGATATTATGGCCCGGGACGGGGATTGTGGAACGGGAAAGGTTGGTATAGGACGTTTTCGCTATTAATTCCATATTACGGCGAGAAGCTTTGACGATCCCATCTTCGTTCATCAGGGCTGACAGCGGAACATTAAAATCACACAAGTCCCGACGGCATTTTTTCAGACAGCTTCTTTTCTCTGCTGCTTCCAATATTTCCTTTTGCTTGTATCGTCGTAGATCTTCCTGCAAAGCTCTTTTGCAGCTGGCATTTATTACTAGGCATGTTAAACGTGTTGCATTAGGATCAAGCTTCAGTTTCCTTTTCTTTCAGAGCAACTCCTTGGTAGTGATGGAGATTCGATCCGATCTTCTTACTTGAGGAACTGAGACGAGGCACTACTTTTCGACAAGCAGCTCGTAGTCTTCGGTCCGGTCTTCTTCAATCTGCCAGTCACGTTTGGACAGGACTTCGTTGAGAATGTTCTCGTCGCATACAGCTAGACTTTTTCCTCGTGCCCGATGAAAAGAGTTCTTTTCCAGCTTGCGGTTGAATCGAATCTTCGCGCGAAGAAGGAGGTGATCGGAACCAGCACAGAATGACGGGTTTACCGATGTGTCAAGTAGGCACCATCTTCTGTTTGTCAGAATATGGTCGATCTCCACATGAACCATGCCGTTGAGAGACTCCCATTTCCAGCGGCGGCCTTCTTTCTTCTGAAAAAACGAGTTTATATGGAAGAGATGTGCTGCAGGCAGAAATCCTGCGAGACGGTTTTCATTCTCATTTATTTCTCCTAATCCAAAATTTCCGATCCTACATTCGCCCTCCTTGGCCTTTCCTATTTTGGCGTTGAAGTCTCCGGCAACAAATTTGTGATATGCTTTATCATAGCGAATGACTTATTCTAACTGACAGTAAAACGCATTTAATTCATACTCATCAGCTGCGTTGGTCGGTGAGTAGCAGTTCATGATAGTGATCTTCTTATGATGCGACAGTCGAAGACGGAGAACGGTTATGCGAGGGGAAAGGATCACATATGAGTCCACGAGATGGACAATGGACGAGTGGACGACGAAGCCTATGCCGCCGACATTTCGTGACTGGACCTTATCTCCACGGATCACAAGGGTCCCGTTGTTTAGTTGGCGCATGTCGGTTTTCTTGGTTTTTGTTTCTTGCAATGCGATCTGCAGCTACAAGAAGTGCGTGAAGATTGACGTCTCTGGAGAGTTTTTTGCCATTATACGTGCATGGTAAGAAAGAATCTCCACGGCGTGTCGTGCGTGTGTTCATCAGATCCGGTTCCAGTGACGTCCTGCGCAGCCCGAGATATTCTGGCCTCTCACCGGTCGTCTCACCGCCTGACATCATAGACGGGAGCACCTAGTGTGCGGGACACTGAGGCTGACCTTTTGCTGGTCGTGCAACTTTGTTCTCCCTGGTCTCCTGACTTAACCTTGCAACGGCTTATCCAGGGCTTCACAACAATGTAGATCGGAGGGAGGTGTATTTGCGTCGGAGATTCCTTCGCTCGGCCTTCCTACTAGTTGACTCAGAAAGATGTTAAAACTCAGACTTGGGTAACTAAACTATCATTCTGAAAAAGTCACTCTAGGTTGATAATAATGAGAATGACTTCACTGATATCGCATATATACACCTCCCACCGCTTATTTGAATACCATCTCTCCACTGTGCCATTTAAAATTGCCTGATGTAATTTCATTTTCGTGCTCAAGTAGCAATTGATCTCTCTGCTGCAGATCTAATCCTCATTATCGCTTTCACTAATGTTTTCATCCTAACGGCACAAGGTGATACAATATGGCCACATGGGCATGCAGGTAGCTGAATCACCTCCACGGTCGTCTTCACCTCCTGTTGGGAATGAATGAAGTTTTGCCTCTTAGGAACTCTAAGGACCGCTTTCCACTTAAGTCACAGCTTTTGTAAATTCCCAGCATAGATCTCCTATTACAGTTACCGCTCCTATAGATTACATGAAGACTAGCGGGTATAAGAGCCGTAACTCTAATAGGTTGCTGCCGCCTGACTAGACATCAATGTGATCTCAAAAAGCGTGTGATTCTTCTCTGATTCTGTAGAAGTCGTTATCACTCTCGCTCATTGCTGCATAATACCCTCTTTCGTCGCTTCATTATAGAGTTACCCAAGTTTTGATACAGCCTGTAGTTGGTTATGGTTCACTGAGTTAGCCACTCCAAACCACTGGACTGAAACATCAGCTGCTTACTTTCAACCTAAGACTTTTCACAGCATTGATGTGAATATGTCTAACTTTATGGTATCTCTCATTGATGTTATCGACAGTGGTATTCCCGAGATGTTCAAAGCTAGAACTAGGCCTAGATACGACTATGGTTTTAGTGTGTGGTTTCCTAGATATTAGGCTTGCTTTCTTGAATCTGTTACTAGAAAAACAATGCATGAAAGGAAGAAAAAGTTTGAATAGTTTTATTTAAGACAGTATGTACACCATGTATGACGAAAATACACGTTTTTGGGAGGTGTAAACTACTAAACCCTACTAGAAATGATGGACGCTGGACAAGAGGCCAACACAAACTAGGATGAAAAGAAATACAACGGAAATCGCATTTGACCCGAAAACGGTCAAGAATGTAAGACAACCTTGGCAAATGTCTAACGTAGCACCGAGGGCTTTGTCATTAATCTAGCTAACTAGTTCAAATGTTAAACACTCATAAATATACAACTTGGGGTAGAGTCGAATATATACGAATTAATAAATAGGAAATTTTTTGTTTTTAACATAATACCTCCTTAGTACACATACTTAATTTAACAACTGAATGACTAGGCTAACTCTGGGATTCGCTCAATATGATGAATGACAATCAAAACCGAGTGAATTTGTTCAGAGAAGATTAATACAAAGTAAAACAGCTCATAAAAAAATCACAGCAAATTAATGAGCGGAAAATCAATCAATACAGACGAATACTTAAACGAATATGACCCGAATTTCGAATAAAAGACTGCTTTCAGATAAAAGAACACACGGCAAGAGTGCGTTAGAGTGCGAATTAAAGGAAAAAGAATATGTAAATAAACGCGTATGTGAAAAAGTCAATGACTAGATAGTATATAGGTTGTAGAAACAGTAGAGCGATAGAAAATACAATAACATAGCAAAAGAATTTCGAGAAATGGAATACTCTTCAGATGGTAACCTGATTTGCGAAATGCTATCGAGACGATCTGATGTAATCGATGACCGCCTGGTAACAAAACGCATAATGTTCCTAAACAATACACAATGTATGAAAAATGAACTAAGACAACATACAAAGGCCATTTGTAATAGAAGAACGCACCAGTTTTGTAAACATAAGCGGTCTTTGGTTTTGAAGACCTTTAACTGTTTGAAACACGTCTACGCGTTGCTCAGCTTTCAAACGTTCCAGCAGTAACGAAATGCAGCAGTAGACACCCGTTTCGGAAGAGCCATCCCTTAAAAGAACGCAATTTGAACTTTAGGTGGGTACGTGACTGAAATGTGCGTAATTTTTCGCTGCGCGTGGTACACACTGACCCTAATTCTCCATCCCTCTCCAGAAGTGTTCATAACATTAAACAAACCTGCAATGTAGAACAATTGGCCCAGAATCGGGCAAACCGCTCTGTCTTTCCAAAACTCGACCAACGAGCGAAAGCAGAGGTTCTGACGATGTCGGCACAACGCATGAAGACGGCCAAGCAGTAAAGGCGAATTGCATCACATTTTGGGCAGCTGTATCTTCCTGGAATTTCGGGTTCAATAAGCTATTCAAAGCCATTCTGTAACATGTGAAGTCTACCACTACCTTCATCCGATAGCTGAGTTTCCTAGTAATAAAGTAGGGGAAGTATTCTTCGCCTGTTAACTGTACGGCTACGTGGTAAGGAGGGCGTTCGTAGACGGAGGTACTATGTAATCCACTAGGCCAATACTGAAAAAAATTGTTACAACATACTACAAGCAAACAATAACTTGTAGTGTAAAATTCAGTTCACCTTCTCAGATGGAGTCCAATCTTCCTCGTTAGAAAGCATAACTAATGTCGTGACATTAAGCTCTGAGATCATACGCCAGAAGTCGAATACCGTGTTCTCGCTCACCGGATCCTGAGCCAAAACGTACGGATAAAAGTAGCCCTAGAAACCACGCATTGTTGAATTGAAGAAATTCTAACACACCGAACAGCCGCCGAAGAACAAGTAAATCTCTCGAAAATCTACATACTTTAACAGAGCTCGCATTAATATAAGTGGTGTCTGCATATCCTATGGACGCACGCAAAACAACACGATTTCGATCGTATGGTACAGCCGAATCAAAGCGATTCTTCATTACGTTGTCCTCTTTCGCAGCAAACGAGCACTTAGCTGGGTGTTCCAAAGTACGTTCGAGTTTCTATAACAAGAAAGATGATGTATTAAATGCTTACTAGAAACTTGTCAGCAATCCCTAACAAATCTGAAATAAAAACTGTAATCTCAATATCGTGTTATATCATCACCCAGATTTTTCTCATTTTTTGCTCACATCCCAAAACAAGCTAACAACAGTACCCGAAACTCTGCTTCCATTGCCGTTGGTGTCACAGTATCGGAACGCACGACAAACTTTGTAAGGCCACTAAATGATGAAGTGCGATCCCTTAAACATGCATGATAACACAGCACATCCAGTGAAACCCATAACCTATCACATTTACAAACCTGACTCCAGGATCAATTAGTGCTTGGTAGTGTTCCTTCAGCTGCTCCACATCCATGTCGGTATAGCCAAAAAGATGCCATTCTGCCAAAGCCTTATAGATGAAGACATACTGTTCCTAAATAAACCAACGAAATGCCACATATTTCCTATCAAAAACCAATAAAGAAAAATCTCAGAATGGAAAAGAGTTGAATACTACAGCACATATACTAACTTGCGATTGGACCATAAGATTACGCTGTTTACGCAGACCAGCAACATACGCGAAAATATCTACTTTTCCCTGAGCAAAACACTGATCTAGCATACTATCAATGGCAATAAACGTTCCCGTTCGACCGACACCAGCACTGAAATACAGGAACCTGTTTTTTGTGCGTTAATTTATCCCAGAAAAATACGACACATAGTGCATGAAGTGTTAAAAAAACAATTTACCCTATAACCTGTCATCCGTAAACCCATTAAAAGTATCAAGCTACACAAGCGGACACAAGTAATGTCTACATTCACCCCTGCCGAATGTCTCGTCTACGAGTGCCAACACACGCTTGATGTACACACAAAACATCGCATATTCACATAAGGCACTTTATTTTTGACGTTACTGGCAACACCAGTGGTAATTTTCCGGGCTGTAAAGTGAATTTGGCAAGTCTTGAGGGAGATGGGAACTTTGATCGCATACTCAAGGGTATAAAAGCTCGCTTACTAACTCATTCTTCAATATTACGTGCGTCCATAAGATGATTCGCATATATAACCAGTGTGAGTTCATAATATAACATAATACATTAAAAACAGAAGTATACATGTACATAAGACAAATAAAAATTAATTCGACATGACAGATGCAGGGAGCTCATTCCGAATTCACACGTGTCTCAGGGAACCAAACGTTGTTTTTAGTTCATATTTGACCTAATATCCGATAATTTGGGACAGCCGCTTTACTTCATGACTCGCTTACCAATTCATTCTTCAACATTACGTCCGAGTCCTAAGGGACCCATAAGGGAGATCCCAGGTATATCATTTACCATTTAGAGGATACAATTTATCTCAAGAAAAATCAGATAGAAATGAAATTCGAACGAATTGAAATTACATTAAGGAATAAGAACAATTCCATAGTTGATAAAACAAAGATTTTGACGAATGACATTCCAAAACTAATGTTCACACTTTCAAACACTACATGCAATTCACCTGCAGTGAATTATAACAGGATAATCATTGAACTCTGGTAAAGCTCGTAAACGATTGAGAAACCGCAGCAGACCAGTGGAGCACTCGGGAGCCTTGTAGTCATTCCAGTTCGTGAAATGATACTGCACAACCCGTCGTACTATAATGTTAGTATTGAAGTGAACTTAACAGTACAGAAGCTATACTAGACCTACCCAATCTTCAAACGTTACAACAAAAAGCTGAGGCACAAAAAAGCGTCAGTTCGAAAAAAGGTTGTTAAACTTGCCATTTCCTATTCCAACGAAAGATGTTTCCGCATGCCCATTAGAATGTCGAACCGAGGGCACATTTGCATATTCTGACCCTGGAGTGGACTCAATCGATCCTATGTCGGATCTAAATCCCATCAAACGAAACAATATCATTGAATAAATCACAAAATTTGCAACAAGCTACATCATACATGAAAAAATTTCATCATATAACATAAAGCTGAATCACAGAAGAAATCACGTGAACAACTCTTACCTTCCTCCAGGTGACATCCTATTGTAACGATCGGTTACTGGTTCAACATCGAAACATCGAACCGCATAGTCCGCAAAGTAAGAGGACTCTTGTGGAGTTACCAATAGGTCACCGTATCTAAGACCAAAAAGAGTTTATTACGCGAAAGACGTATGCAAAACATTTAAAACATCAGGTAAAGATGTTAGGTGCAAAATTTACCTCGTATGCTGATCATCTGGCCAATACTTCGTACACTGCTGACGATTTTTTTCGAAAAGATTAGCTACCATAACTATTAATCTACAGTCTTGCTCCCAAATCATCCGCCAGAAATCAGTTATAGTGCAATCGAGTGGGGCTTGTGCAGCGATGAAAATTTTTCGATCGTCCCAACCCTATGCGAGATAATTATTATTAAATGGTGACTTTACACCAAGCTCAAGAAATCCATTTACGCAAACAGTAAGGAAGGAATAAGATTAAACAATTCAGAATCCATTTATGCAAACAACAACACCAACCTTGACAAAGTTAGCATTGATATAGTCAGAATTTTCATCGCCATTTAACACACGAAGCTTAACGCGTGTTGCATCAAAAGCCCGAATGTCATTATACCTTGAATGTAAACTATTCTAGCTGTAGGAAAGCATAGACAAAAGAAGTCCTGTTTCAGGACAAAAAACTCCCTAAACACAGACAATAACAAAAATTTCTGAAGTCTACCTATTCTTATTAGCATTTTCTTTCTTCGCACTGGCAACAGCATCTAGTTTGTAGTGAGGAAGAGCCTGAAAAGCTTGCAAAAGAAATATCAAAGAATAGGTCCGTTAAGCATGAGCTGCTTTAATTGTAAAATATCACAATAAAATTTCTCACTTCATATTCTTGGGCAAATAAGAAGTCTGAATCTCGATGCCTCATTAGATACTCGGATGGTAAATCGTCAACCATAATCGCATTGTAAGCTGATGGACGGAGGAGGGTTCGTTCAGTCGCTGCTGATGAATCTTTTGACATCCATAGCCAGTGGCACCATTGTGAAACTTCACCGCGTCTATAACTTAATCACTGACGAATTAGTCGACATAATTTATAACGACCAAGCAATATTTTGAATTAGACCGGATAAACGACTAGTATAGGGGGCGGAAAACACAGTGGAAGAGATGCCCGTCATTACAAGCATAGTGCTAGATCGATTCTGCCAGCGCCAACCAAGTCTCTCACACTCCGGGGTCGGGAAGTTGGTACCGGAGTTGTCTGGGGAAAAAATCACTCTACAATCCAACTGGGAACGTTCCACCCCACCTATCTCAGGACTCCAGGGTGAACTGCTCGACCAGCATTCTATGACATTCAAGATGGAATGAAAATCCTCAAGCAGCAACCGAAGCCATACTTAAAAGCTAGAAGATCTTAGTGGAACAATGGATGCCAGGAAACGAACTGAATGTGAGAAATGCTGGGATCCGCACGGTAGACGTGAAAACGGGTCAAAATAAAATAAAATAAAAGACTACTATTTCGGCACTCAGCGTTTTCCTCAAGAAATAACTTCGGTGATACTTACTTGTGTAACACAAGCAATCCCATCACTGCTGCCATGGTTAGAAATACCATTAAAGGTACTAAGATCGTAAAGAATGCTCCAAGTGTACTTTTCTCTAAAAGTTGTCGAAAATGTTTTGCAATAAAATCACCACAGGAGAGTGGTACTTCGTATTATTGTATAAACAGAAACACACCATCTTCTGGTTCGAGAAAAACTGGCTTAAAGAAACCGCTAAAACCATAGGCAGGCCCACTCAGATGAAGCTGGCGATATGATCGGGGTCGTAGTGGATCCAAACTAAAGCTATTACCATCAACATATTTTTTAAATGAGTGTCTCATTGACCCTACATTCTAGTGTATTGTGTCCCTCCTTGCATATCATCTCTGTCATCCTTGTCAACTCTGACGATCAAAAAGCCAGTGTATTTCAATCCAGGTCGTAAAACAACATCCTCTGCTTTGTAGCGACTAAGATACCTAAAAAAAACTTTAAGTGGAACACCGACAAAAGTCGATTAACAAAATATCAGTCCTTTTTTTCTTTTCCACTCACAATACACTACATGGTTTCATTCCCGCTACGCCTCGTCCATCTCCAATTACGGTATCAGCTGGATAATCGGTGTAACTCTCGGCGATATAGGCGAAAAACCTTCTCTTTTCAGCTGCTAACGCATTCAAATTGTTGTTGAAAGCCTGCATTGATTAAAACCTTTTCAAGCAAAAAAACTGCGTAATTAATGTTAGGACATACTTCAGATGTCATTAAAATGACTATCAAATAAACGCATAGGATTTTAGTTTCCGAACGATGGAACTTTGAACTATCGCCAAAACGACTCTATTAATACATATGATGAAAAATGCGAAGTCAACTTTGCATTTACCTCTCACTGAATTTAAAAATAGTATAAGAATATAGTGGTATTGTAGGTATAGCGCAGTGGTCGTAGGCGCTCTGTAATATACATGACACCGATTCCCGCGCCCCATGCTCGCCAAGCCTTCCATCCCTCCACTATTGGGAAATTAGTACCAAACTTGTCTGGGAGGATGGCCGCACTGGCTCGATACATCGGTGGGTCACCGCGAATCATTGGAAAAGTCAGATATTCAGTCGATCACCTTCAACGATACTTGATGAAGTCGAATGCATGGCACATTCCCCAGGGATTGAACAACGCCAAGAGCTTTATCCTTTTTTATACGAATACCGAGGAAAATTCTTGCGACGTTGTCTGGTACATTAGGCCTTTGCGTTGCATCATCAACTACGTCAGTAATGTGACTTCCAGTGAAGTCAAATCATCTGCTCCCTCCCGCTTCTCAAAAGGCTAAACTCATTTTAGCCCAGCGCACTGCGAAATCGTCCAAAGCGGTTACATACAATATTACTGCACATTGAGATTCTAAGAAACGACAGTTATGAGGCAGTCAGTCATTAAACATGTTAACAGTTTAAAGAAAAAAAAAAAAGTTAAGAATCTTGGAAACAGTATCCATCACTATTAAAGAAGAAAAAAAAAAGTTAAGAACCTTGGAAACAGTATCCATCACTATTTCCTGTGGGGGAGGAAGCGTTTCCAATGAGACATTTTTTAACAACGGAACTATGCTGATATAGTAACAGCTAAAATAGTACGTGATAAGACTTACGTAATAATCACACGCTCACATATGAAAAATTTCCAAATAAATACCTAATTGGCCCATTCGTATCATCTGGCTTGGAATTAAAGGCTAAATTAAACGATGTGTGGTTCGAATTCGTTGAAGTTATTGGTTTTTCCACCTGAAATTAGGAAGAAAGGTTTTACCTTTATGCAAAATGGCAACGTAAAGTGTATGTTATAAACAAACCACATCCGGCTGGGCGTAGTTAGTGACGCACTGCCTAGGAAATACCAACGGTGATGAGCGACCTGCCGAATTCTCTGCCCAAACTATTACTGTGTAATTTCGGTTAGGCTGCAAATGAATGTATAACAACATAAGCACAACAGTTCATTAGGAGTAAGATCTATTAACAACCACATGAAAAGTGTAACTAGAGCATATCGTTCAACCCTTGCCAAGGAGTGTAGTTTTTAAGGCTTAAGGGAAACACTTCACATAGCTAGACCCACCAACCAGCCTTTGGAGACAATTCAGTGAAAATCTATATTAACGGAAAATTTTGCCATGGTTCGCCTAGAGAACAACGATTATGTCTCAAATACTTACTGCTATAGCTCAAAATATCTATCATCTTTTGGAATGAGAACGCCATCTCTATTACCATCCTCTACAAAACGTTTAACACAGGTAAGGGTCAATATTTGAGACGTTTTAGGGTTAACGTTGGATATCGATAACACCTTGAAGAGAAATACAGTCATCTAATTCTCACGACCGACTTTCTATCAATCTCGGTGTTGATTATACAGTTGTCTACAGTAACATGAACAGTTATCTAATATGAATTACGTATAAATTAACAACAAAAATATAGACTTTTATCTAAAAACTCAGTGTAGAAATATACGGTAGTCAAATATCACGTTCCTAAACAGTGAACAAACAGTGAGAATAAATTACTTAATAGACGATGAAATGAAGGTTTTTCTAATGTTGAAAGAATAACCAGTGTAATTACCGGAAAATGAGCTTTACCCTCATCAAAAGTAGAGGTAGTACACCACATGCTGTATACAGCTACCATAGAATGCACCTACAAGAAGTTTGACCAACAGAAAGGAAAGAAGGTATGTACATGTCGGTCGCGTACAGTGAAGAAATCGACGATTTGCTCAACGAAATTTAAATTTTTACTTCGCATTTTTTCACGAGAAGATATTACTTACTTCGACACTTCAAAGGCCCGTCCTCACTGGTTATGCGGGCCCAAGCATATTCTCCCCTTTTCTAAGTTTTGCTGGTTTCCCTGGAGTCCCGGAGTCTGCCTGCTCAAAGTCTGCTCCAGGTCATCAGTACTACAAACAGTCACAACTCTTGTGGATCAGAGGGAGATTTGCCACTATGCGAGTAATTTGGTACGAGGACGGTAGCAGTTCCTGGTATTCGCTTTTAGTTAGACTTCATGATGGAAACACCGAACTCCTCAGCTTGGGAGGCCCTGCCAGAGGATGAATCCGCCGCTGTACATCGCAGCCCGACTCCGCCAAAACACAGTTCTCACTGCAAGTCTTCAATGAGCGAGTGGAAACTGAAAACTGCGAGCAACACGTTGCGGCCATTTATTGGTGATCACGACAATGTGGCTACATCGAGACGACAATTATCCCCCTACAGCTTAGAGGCGTCGAAGGGCGGTGCACGACAGGAGTCGCGACTCGGTGAGCAGCGTTCAGGCCGCAACAAGAGGGATCTTGGAGCGACCCGAAAGGGTCCACAAAAGTAGTAGGCATGGACCACGTGGCCGAAGAATGAGTGGTGAAAGTGGTAGACTTCGCACACGTTCCGCAGGTCCAAGCGGTCCCCCCACCATTGTAGTCGACAAGATATTACGTGAAATAAAACCATAAGGAGAGATATGAGCAAAACTCGTAACACCCTGCCTGAAAAAAGAATAGGTAGTAAGTAATAGTTAACCACTAAGATTTCAACTGCAGTTCCAGCTTAACATGGTTCAATGCCTAGTTGTGCTCCCCAGATGATCCCCTTTGACGGGCGATTGCTGATGGCGCTATTGGAGCAAAAAAAGCTAGACGAGAAGAAAGCAAAATAAGGGTTTCAGTTGGTGTAGTGGGCAAAAGTGAAGCACAATAAAGAATAATCGCGGGTTACAAGTCCACCTAAGGTTCTGGATCTAAGTTTTGCTCATATCTCAGCATCCATGTGATTTATAAAACGAACATTTAAAAGGTATCAACCTACGATGTCACGACTGTGAGTTAAATGGTAAGAATTTGATTAAGAAATACCACATAAAATACCTAACCAAAGATGATTCGACTAAGCTGAAAGTTCTCTCGAGAATTGGCAAGCTTTGTTTCTGAACACGAAAAATTTCATTACGACTTAAAAACCTAGCGGTTCATATAGATGGGCTGGAAGCAAGAAAGAAACTGTAGACCACGAAACCCGCAAGGTCGCAAAAATGATGACAACAAATTCTAATGAGTTCGAAGCAAAGTGTCTTTAAAGAAATGAACAAAAAAAGCTTTTCCACTTTGTTAATCCCATTTCAACTTTGAAAATGTACTGTGAACAAGAGACAACAATATCGGTGCAAGAGATTACGATAAAGAGGTAAGGAATTGCTGTGAAAAGTCACCTTCAGTGGTCCATACTTGCAAGACAGAAATTCTGTGGTAAATTCGATAGGATTGATCCCGTGTGAAACATCTTCACGTTCATCCCAATTGGCACATTTTTCTTCATCTGTTGGCGGTGGAAAATCGTCAGCAACCAAAGCACCACCTGGACGTACATGACGTACAACACCTTGAACCCTCACCTAAACAGCAACAAATCGTTACCAATCCAATCAATCAATATAGTCAATACAGTCTTGAGTATAATGCAAAAAAAGAAACAACGATGACCAAATCACATGAAGGCTGTTAAAGTTTTCGAATCTCACGTAGTATCTACTGATTCTCCCATTCGTTAACGCTGGCGCTCTCCACTCAACCTCACAAATTAGTGAAGAACCAGAGTTTAGCAGTCGAACGTCTTCGTACTTTGGCGGATGTGGCTCTACAACGTATTGTTTTATAATAAATTTCGTGAATGATTAGAAAAATTAGCAATAAAGTTATGGTGGTGATGAAATCTTTACAATTATCTATTTTAATGAAACACTCAGTACAAAACGAGTTTCTCGCCTAGAATCCTTGAGAAAAACTTGCAAGACATTTAATCCCGTTAAGGGTTTACCACCTCATCTGGGTGTAGGTGTTCAGTCAGAAAGACTGTTCAACAATTTAAACGATTCCTAGCAATCAGTAGCGTTCTGTCAGCAACCTAATCGGTGACAAATATTTACTACTGGCCTGCAACTGTTTCTAGTTATGATGACTTAGGATAACACTAGCATATTCATTTCTATGTGCAACTATAAGGCAAGGAAATTTCGCTCGACCAACAAACTATCGCCCAACTAAAAAAACGCTCAGGATCCACTTTTTCTATACACAAAAGTAATTTAAACAGTAAGCAAACATTAAAAGATACTTATATGGAATGAAATCTGTGAATTACAGAAAACTTACTGCTTTCAGCTGTATTGAAGAGCTCAGTGATCTCAAAAGAATCTGTTTGACTGTCATTTACAGTCACATACAGTTTGTAAGGTGTTGCTGCACGCAGATTTCCAATCATAACCGGAGATACGGCATTCATTTGTGTGAACACTTCCTGACCATTCAAGCCTGTGCGTCGCACCAATCTGTTAATACAAGCGAATAAAACGGAAAGGCAGGCCAAGAATGCTTACTATTCCACTGATTAACCTCAAGCCAATTTTCAACTGCGGCCCTTGCTGGACATCCCAGCTAACATTGGCGGAAATATCGTTCGTGGTTATCGTCAAATTTTGGATCGTTCGTGGAGCTACAATGAGAGATTAATTACTAGTGTTCAAATAAAACATTTCATAGCAATACCACAACAAAAAATCATGCTTGATAGAAAAATTCACGAGTTTAGTTTTCCCATATAAAATCTGTCGATTACGTCCTCAAAAACAGGGGAATAAGACGATATAAAATACAGTTAGAGTAAGGATAAAGTAAAATTCAACAACGATACTGAGACTATGGATCACATCGAAAAAGAAGGTAGGATATCAAGAACCAAAACCAAATGTATGTGTGTTTAACGTCTTGGACTTGCTACCATTAGAATTAAAGAGCTAAATAAGAACATGTCGATCCGATGCATTTAAGAGAAAACCAGCAACGACCGCTCGATTCTACCCCGATAGTAGCTGAAGGGAATCTTATTTGAGCTTACGAATACGTATGGAAAGATGAATTTATGCGAAAAGTAAAAAAAACTAGTGTAAAGCAGACGTAAGCAGTAAATATCAATTTTGAACACATGTCTTGTCACAAAGCAACCAACTTCGACAAAAAACTTGCTGCTGGCGAGGTGTTTCTTTACTATTCAGATAAAAAGCATGCGTGAACTCAGATTTCACAATAATAATCAAACACAACTCAAAATGGATGCAACTTTCTCCACTTACATTCAGGAGAATCTTAAACGTACCACTTAATGGTCTCATAACTTTTTTCGACCTCTTCGAAAACATATGGTGATGATGGTGATGATTTTGTCGTTCTACAAGATATCAGCAGTGCAAATCATAATTTCAAAATAAGCTACAGCGATTAGACCAGCTAGAAAATCACGTACAAAGAGAAAGATAGTACTGAAGCAGTCCTATCTAATCCCCTTTTCAGTATTCGAAAAAGGAACTCGAATAACACCCATCTGTTGTTACTTCTAGGGAATGACGTTAAATAAATTCGAGACAAATAGTCGAAGATCTAAAAAAAGGAGAGTCCATAAAACACTTACCTTTAACTTGGAATTCTATTGTGTAATTTACAGACGGCTGTTGATTGGCATTGACATGACACATATACGAACCACTGTCCGACAGTTGCACGTTTCGAATTTCTAACTCCCAACAGTATGGCGTATTCATTTTTTCGAACTCCGTCATCTGTTAATCGAACGGCTGATGAAAAATCAGAAACGAAAAATATCTAAACACATCTTACATGATGAAAAGGGTGATTGGTAGGCTCACGTACAACTGTAGTATTTTGCACGAACAGTACCTAAAACTCAAGCTGATAAAGAAATTCAATGCGACGACCTTGGAAAAACATGTTTGGATATAAAATCAATTCGTTCACCCCTGCTACATCAATCAGTCCTTGTGGATCCATATTTACACAACAATACAGCGTTACGTCGGTGCCCTTGTAAACTGCATCTGACGGGTACGCTATACCAAGCACGGCCAATTCACCTATACTCGTAAAAATTACACATACACACTATCAATTACATTTCACTTTCCCATGACCGACTTTCGGCTGCCTATCGGCATCAATCAATGACTTAATGTTGTTCAATAGCTGACAGACAGTTGACGACTGAGATATTTTTAGCATAACGTTTACCTACGAATAGCTAGCTTCGACACACTTCGCCTTCTTCGAAACCATTTTTTACGCTCAAATTTTAGCGAGTGAAGAGAGAATTACTTCTATGCAAGTCGTTTCACTTTTCAAACATGAGAACCAAAAAAAAATTGGCATTAAAGGCAGAATCCACAAAGGTACCAACCACTAAAAAACGTACGTTATACTATGATCACCTCATGGGCACGTGTAGCGCAGTGGTAGGACCCGCTCTGCAATACAAATGAGATCAATCCCCGCACCTAAAGCTCACCAAGCCTTCCATCCATTCGGGGTAGGCAAATTGGTATCAGATGGGTCTGGGAGGATAGCAGCACTGTCTCGATACATCGGTAGGCCACTGCGAGTCATTGTTTAGGCCAGATATGCATCAAATCGACTCCAGTGATGCTTAATGAACTCGACTGCATGGCACATCCCTCGGTGGTTGATCAACGCCGAGAGCTTTATCCTTTTATCTTTTTTATAACAACTTCGGATCAGTTCGTCTAAAATAGTAGCTACACTATTCAACGTAACTATTTACTTTCACCACATGAACTGAATCAAGCGTTGCAAATTTTTATGCGCATGTGGAAAACTCTTAAAGGCTGAATAATATTTCGCTTAGTGTAATAATGACGTTAATCTGGCGCATATGATCAATGATGCGACCCATTCGAAGTCTGACTTGTTCATAGAATGAATTCCACAATTCAGTATCCTCTACAAACTAGACCTATAGTGCATCCCAATGGAATTCGTCAATGCCATGAACTTTACCGCTAATTTTTCATTAACTATCTACTTTAACCACATACGACATAGTTCCCACCCTTCTTTATCCCATAAATTCGTGCTCGAATGCCATAAAGCAGCTCAAAGAGTTCATTTGATAGAAAATTTTAGCACATGATAAATTACAAGGAAAAAAGCATAAAACCTCCTTACCGTAAGTATTTGCAATTCTTAACGATGTTTATATAAGTATGTGCTTATAAAATCGCTTGGAAAATCAAAGTACTAGTAGTTCAGCCAATTTACTTATATTTTATTGCAAAAAATAATGACATTGGCAGTGCTTATACAAAATTAAGTCTACTTAAATTTTTCTAATCCAGAGATATCATACTGCATAGATCTCATCCAGAATCACCACCTACATCCAAAACGCTCGAAAAAAGGAGCTACCCAAGCCAATATATCCGTCGATATGCCACTATCACAAAGAACTTCGCAAAGAGAAGTGTATTTAAAAAAGGATGAGATCATATCTTGGTCACCATTAAGAGTCTCAAGATCCTGATTTGCGAAGTCCGATTCAAAAAATATGTAATAAAAATGTGTATCTATGAAAGACAAAATGTTCATTTTGAAAAAAAAAACCGAAAAAAGAACTAGATAAAGCTCGTGCTTACGTCTATCACATTTCGTTGGCAGTAGATTTAACACCGGTGATTCACTAGTTTTCCAGTTATCGAACATTGGAGGACACGAGCAACGACCCTGTAATGTTACATGCATATTAAAGATTTAGAAATTTTTCACAAAAACTCAATCACAGAAAGAATTTCTTAAGCACTACGGCGTTGACAATACCTAGCAAATCCGAATGGGAACAAGAATAAATCTTCGTTAGAACAAGTAATTCTAAAACGATAAAATGGAATATTATTACACCAGAAAAGAAGCGCACGTGAAGAAGCACGAAGGGAACGGATTGATTCCTACGATCAGCACAGCAATGAGAAGCGCACAAGCATAGCCGAGTATCACAGTGTTCCTTCATAATGAGAAAAAAAAACAAACGAAGAATGTGTTTTTTCCATGCCTACATATATATACCTACTAGATACTTGAACGGCCCGTCCTCACTAGTTGTGCAGACCCCCAGCACAATCTCTATTTTCCGGAGATTTGCAGGTTAAGCCATTGTGATTCCCTGGAATCCCGAGGTAAGCCTGGCCAAAGTCTGCCCCACGTCTTCACCACCACAACAAGCCGCAGCCCTTGTGGATCGGGTTTCTTCATATATATTGCTGTCTGCATTTAGAAGTGTTATATATATATATATATATATATATTCACATATATGTATACATAAAGGTATACATACATATGTGTATATATATACATATATGCATATATATACATATGTCTATGTATACGTATATATATAAATATATATATATATATAAAGAGACACTCCAAAACACTTCTAAATGCCGACAACAAACCATTTGCAATATGGACCATAGCAAAACATGATAAATTGTGGCATACCCATTATTCATAAGTATAGAACGATAGATCACACCCTTTTCTACATTCTCGCTGCGTTTAAAACGCCTCAAGTCCTCTGATTAATGTGTAAAGATTGTTTCTAAAAAACCGGAAAATCCCCAGCCGAGGAAAAATTGCTCATATACGATTGCGCTAGCATGTAAAGTTACGCTGGAGAGAAATGGTCTTAAGTTAAATATGCCAAAGGAAATCAATGTAAGGGTGATACAAATACCAATAAACGAGTGTTAGAGGTAAAACAAAAAAATAAAGCTCTCGGTGTTGATCAATCTTTGAGCGGTGCGCTATGCAATCGACTTCACTAAGTATCGCTAGAGGTGGCTGAATGCATCATTCACCTTCACAATGACACGCTGTGGCCTACCGATGTTTTTAGTCAATGCTACCATCCTTACAGACAAATCTGGCACCAATTTGCCTAACCAGGATGGATGGAGGGCTTGGTGAGCCTGGGGAGGGATCGATCGCATGTGCATTGCAAGGTGCCTCACACCAATGCGCTAAACACATCCCAGTATTCGAGGCACTTATAAACGTTATAGTCACAGTGTTACATATAATATAATACAACAGAATAGAACAATGTAATGTGACGTGATATAACTCAAAACATTATGACATGGTCGCAATACAAAATCTAAAGAGATTTCAGTATACTATAATGTTGTAGTGCGTGTAGCACACTGGTTAGTGACACTCTGGGATACACATGTGGTCTCTGGTTCGACCTCGTGCCTCCGAACTCACCTAGCCTTCCATCCCTACTTGTTGGCAAATTGGTACCAGGGCTATCCACTAGGGGAGCAGCATTCGCTCGATACATCGGTAGGCGACCGCGAGTCATTGTAAAGGTTATATATGCATTAAATCACCTCTATCAATGTTTGATGAAGTTGAGTGCATAGGACATCTCTAATTTACTGGTCAACGCCGACGCTTTATCCTTTATCACTCTTTAAGGGTGAAAATAGCTCTAACGAGGAACAACTAGGAACAAAATAAAAGCAATACACATGCTAAACATGCTAGAATTACACTGCCAATAAACTTTTTTAAAGAAAAATAGAGAAGAAAAGAAAAGAATGAACGAGAGACTCAGCAGAAAAACAGCTAGTGAAAACCAAGCGCAGGACAAAATTTGAAAAAGAAGTTCATGGGAGAAACTCCAAACAAGTACAAACATACGACGGTAGAGTTCTGGGAAACAAGAATAATGCCGCTGACAACGGCAAAACTTTGTTTTAAATCTCACATTGACAATGAACTTGTTGTACATTCAATAAATCTTGCAAGCTTTCAGAAACCACAATAAATCGCAAGAACAGAAGCTGAAATCAATCAATGCAAGAAGTTCAAACCTGATGACACTGTGGACTGGGAAGTTCGTACTTCTTCGCATAACTAGGATCCATAACACCACATGGCAACTCGTATCGATACCTCTGTCGGTGGCGGTAATAGAATGAAGCTCCCTGCCTCGTACAATCCATAGGAATGTCTAAAAAAAAAGAATGTAGAAAAAAAATAATCATACAGAAATAACATTAAGCCATTCAGCTTTCGTACATGGTGGACAACTTCTTGGACATAAACACCTCCCATATCCATCGGTATCTTTACGACATAATCCATTGTGAACGCAGTCATAGTTAGATTCACATCGTGGAACACCTGCAATAAACAACAATCGTTGTCCTTCAGTTGAGTGTATAACTAGGAAATTGCTATCATTAGAGAATGCAGAGGTAGTGGGGACGAGATAGTTTGCAAAGGGATAACGGAAAAATTATACACTGCATTTAAACCGAGAGTTAGACAAGAGCAGTTGCTAGAAATCAGAATGTAACTGCAACAAACAACTGCGTACAATATCCATGAAGTGCTTCCGAACAGATACATGGAAGCAAACAGCTTTAATACAATGACGCTGTTCTGCAGTTAACTAATCTCTATAATGGGTATGCAATACGAACCAACACACATCGGGCAAATCATCCTTTCTCAACGATATTTGTAAAACACAGCCGCATTGCGGCGCACCGAGCGGAGGCGCCCTGCAATACATATAGGATCGATCCCCACACACCTGGCCGACCAAGTCCTCTATCCCTCCGGAGTCGGCAAATTGGTGCCACACTTGTCTGGGAAGACAGTAGCACTGGCTCGATACATCGGTGGCCCACCACGAGGCATTCTAAAGGCCAGATATGCATTCAATCACCTCAAAACGATGCTTAATGAAGTTCAATGCACGGCGCATCCCTCGGGGATTGATCAACGCCGGGAGTTTTATCCTTCAGTCTTATTTATAGCCGCGTTTCATTGATTATCGATTCAAAGATGTAATAATAGCAAAATGGTTATGGGTACAAATGGAAATATGGAATAAAAATCAGAAAGTAGAAAACGGAAAAGCATAAGAAAAATAAAATAAAAGGATACTAGTCGAAAATGAGATAAAGACTCACCTAGTTTGTCGGCGGATGCTGGTCCAACTGATGTTGTCGAAACCGATGTCAGAGTTGTATTACTCAATGAATATATTTCATCGACACCGTAAGTAAACCGCAACAACAACAAAATCAGCGTAGACCACCATGTCCAAACGCCAAATACTAATGTCATTCTTCAGAGAACAGGCATAGTGAATCGAATTAGTAGCGATCGAAATGTAACGGGGAAAAGCCTGAAAATCTCAACGAATGTTGTCACGTTACAGAACAACTAAAATTACAACAATGAGTGGAAGAAATCAATAAACGGACCAAGGACATATACAGCCGATCACAGTGCATAAATACAGTTGTTCTTACTATCTAGCAACCTGATTTAGTACACATTCCGTTGTTGCCTACATTTTTTACTGAAATTCTCTTCAAGGAGGCAGCAAGGTGAGTTTAAAACGTCTATGAGCTAAACGTTAGCAAAAAAGAATAGCGGCTAGGGACGGAAATCGGAAGTGTAAAACAATGCTATTTACTGTTGTCTGGTCATTAATGATGGGTTGTAAACAAGTTAAAGAGCAGCAAAAACAGTCCGCACTATCGTTCGGCGGTTTCACAGTAACACATCAGATGCCTCTAAAGGCAATCCATTTGTCCAGAATTCGACGATTCTTTGAAAATAATTCGACTTAGGAATGGTTTCCTTCAGAGGGAACTCAATTACACAAACGGAAATATTCATAAAATATTGCAATGAAGGAGATCCGATCGATGAAGACCGGATATGGTCGGACGAGGCGAGAAAACGGGAGAACCACCAACTATGAATCGATCAAACGCAATTAAACGCTAAATACGAGACATCGGACATCTTTTCTCCTAATAAGGAACAATTTCAAACTAAAATGGTAAACGTCCCATTACATCTTAGTGAAAACCAGAAAGGAACTAGCGTTGTTAAAGTTTAACTTCCAAGAACTTGACCCACGAAAATTCCTTTGCTGCAACTAAACTACATTACTGGTATGATTAACAGTTCTGAGACAACGACAACTGAAGAAGAACTGTCCATATTAGCCAAGATCTCTTCACCATTGTGTGCCTGTCCACTGTGGGAACACGAGCATAAGTCTTCCCACGTATGCTCCATTAGTGTTCCCAGCAGTAAAACACCCATCAGAAGTTCTCTAGATTCTATGCAAGTAACCACGGAGATCAGACAATCTGATGGTCCCTTATGATCCAAATCTGAACACTCTAAACACCTAACCTTTGTCTGGGACGTATCACATAGCTTCGCGACTAATCGTCTGAAAGAAGGATACAACGTATCAATCAGGTCGACCCGTCAATACTAACTATCCACACAATTCCAACAAGCTGAAATATTTTCAGAACAATCCAATTTTAACTGTAATTAAATCTATACTTAGAACGATAGCAATTTTATTCACTTCACTTCACAGAGGCGCTTTTGATGGAACCTTAACCCGGCGAAATTATCTCAGTAGTATAACAAAATAAAACGTGACTTCATCGTATCTGAATAGGATTACACATAAAACTACTTAACATATAAATTGGCTATATCGGAAGCCATTCCGGATGGATCCATGCCGACATCGTATTGTTCGATCACGGGACGACGCGCGAGCCACACCACTCGCTAATCCAATAATACGCAGTTGCAGTGAAAACGCACGCAACGACACGTATGATGGGGAGAGTACGGGCGCGCCGGAATGGGAGTGGGATCGCCGAGTTGAATATTAATCATCTCATGCGTCGCGTTGAATCCATAGCAGGGAAGGAACGTCGTAAATTCATGCGGATTAGAATATATGAAGAGCTCTTCGTAATTGACAAGTTTTCCCTTCTTCAACAAAAAGAGTTCATTTTGCTGCATCTCCTTGCGTAATTCGTCCAAGCAACAATGTAGATTGGAATTGTTACACATTAACAGGACTACTGATTGCTTAAGGGTGCGTGTGCCGCAGTAGTTAGAGGGGCCAATGTGACACACACGTGGAATCGATCCCCGCGCCCACGGCTCACCAAGCCTTCTATCCCTCCGGGATCGACAAATTGGTACCAGACTTGGCTGGAACATAACGGCACTGGCTCGATACATCGGTAGGCCACCGTGACTCATTGTAAAGGCCAGATATGCATTCAATCACCTCCAACGATACTTAATGAAGTCGAATGAATGGAGCAACCCTCAGAGATTGATCAACGCCGAGAGCTTTATCCTTTTTTTTTACCATTTGCTTAAAGAAAGACCAGCGGTGTTTTAGCTGCCACTATTCGGACTACATCCTGTTATAAAACTGGCTGCTGAGCGGTTTTTTTTTGCGCCGCAGTGCCGATGTAGCGGTGCCAGGATGTCCCATGGTCCTCACAACGAGAAGCACTCGCCAGCTCTTGTGGAGTTGGAGGGAGCTCGACCGCCTGTCAATGAGATTTCTTCGGGATGGATTCGACGCAGTACTTTATTTGAGCGTAACAAGTTTCTCGGATGGAAATTACAAATGCTCTTCTTCTGTTTAGAGGGTAATGCGGAGTTTTGACTTGCTCTTGTACGCCAGTTCGATAGAAAGATAAGAATGATTTATATTCCTATAGGAAATCACTACATATTACCGAAACCACTACCTACTGAAAGTTTAGGAACCATGACATAACTTTGGTTACAATTAATACGACTTCTACGTCCTAGTTAGCGAAGATTTTACGACTTCTTAGCAAAACTTTCTCAGTGCCAGATAAAATCACTAAAATACCACATCGTTTCTAGCCTATTATTTACTGCCTACTCTTTTTAATGGCAGGGTGTATTACGAAACACAACTTCACTTATGCTGAGATATTTGCAAAACTCCGAACCACAGGTGTCTGTGGTGGGGAACGAACGCGCTACTGTCCTTTCCGAGGAGTAACGCGTTCACCACCACACCATGTGGGTCCTCCGTTTCGCCTGTCTCTCAGCTAGTTCTATCCATCTCTGCTAACAGCAATCACCCGTCAGCGGAATTGATATGGGGAGCTCAAATCGGCAAGGATATAGTTATTATCACAACCCACCGCAGACACCGGTCCTGAGTTTTGCAAATGCCTCAGCATCCCTGAAGTTACCACATCACTATCTATTCATTTCGATTTCTGTGCATTTCCAAGAGAACATTTTGGAATTCGTCAATAACAAGGAAAACTCGAACTCGAACACAACATTCCAACTGGCGCTCGAACACGACCATCCCAAACTTCCAAACGCACTATTCACAATTCGAAAACGATGAAGGTATATTTCTCGTGTTTAAACACAAAACTCAGATTTTAGCAAGTGATCAATTGAGTTCATGCAAGAATGTGGATAAGATGTAAGGCGATTTGAGATGACCTTCAACAGACACATTTACCACAACTCACCCGTCCGCAACTTATCATCAAAAGAAGGCGAAGTAAAAAGTCTTATACTGCTTTTTTTTGCCGAGCGTCAAAAATCATGTCGCAAGAAAAGAAAGAAAATAAGTGGATTTCCGTTTATAAGGCCTGTACCCGGTTCAGTTCTAAGACCTTTGCCTAGTTTTCAGCGAGTGGTTTCAAGTGTTGGTGCCTAGTGTCTTTTCAGATAGCAGGTACTTTTGGAGGCTTACTTTAAGCTGCGCTCCTTCAGATTTAAATGTTGAATTTTTTAGTGTGACCCAGCCAACAGATGAACAACACCGAACATTCAAGAACACTCACTGACAGCCGTAGTGAACGAAGGAACAACTGATTGCATAGCATGAGAGTGCACATAAAACACGAGTAATGAGCGGTAATACTTAAGATAAACGCGACCAAGCTTAATTTCTGGAGTAGGCGACTTACGACCACGCCCAAAAGCACATCGAGCGCAGTGTGCATTGAAAAAATCGTCTGGAAAGAGCTTTTTGTAAATTATTAGGTGCAGTGAATAGGTCTCTATGGATTACGTTTAGCGAAAGATCTTAGTTGACTAGGATATAGATCGAATACAAAGTGCTTCACAAACAAACTTATCGCGGCAAAATAGGTAGTCCAAATGGGCATGGATTGAGATCAATGCATTTGACGCACTTTGCGCTTTCCACGTATGTCATTGCACACTGTAACTTCTACGCTAAGAAGTTGTCTAAAACAAAATAAACAAAATAAAATAAAATGAATAAAACCTTAAGAAAATTAGACCTCGAGTCTCAATGTACAATAGTTATGTTAGAATAAATACAATAAACAGGCATTTTGCGAAAAAACAGCAGCTGTTAACGTACAAACAATGATCGAATACCTACGCGTAAGAATTACCTAGAATTTTTGCGAATCAAATAAAAGGAAAAATGCCAAAAAGAAACCATCAGAAGTCATACTGGAGGAATGTGATTTTCTTTTGGATTTAAGCAAACCGAATGCAATTCTGGACTCTGCAATCAGCTATAGAAAATCAGAATTAAATCTCAGTAGAATGAGAAAAGATGGAGCGGATAGCACAGTGGCAGTGATGTCCGTCATTACGAGCATGGAGCTAGTTCGATTACGCTGAGGTCGGGAAATTGGTACCGGACTTGTCTGGGAAAAAAACCACTCTCTGCAATCCAACTGGGAACCCTCCAGCCCGGCTATCTCAGGACTCCAGGGAGAATTGCTCAACCAGCATTCTACGACATTCAAGATGAAATGAAAATGCTAAAGTAGTAGCCGAAGCCACACGTAAAGTTGGAAGATTTTCGTGAACAATGGATACAAAGAAACGAACTGAATGTGAGAAGTGCTCGAATCCGCACAGCAGATGTGAAGACGGGTCAAATAAAATAAGAACAAAAAAAAAAATAAAAATAAAGAATGATTATATTGCAAGTGAAGATTTGTAAATTCTAGGTTTTTTTTCCTATTGTAATCAGAGTTTCAGTATGACCTGAAATATATCAGTCTAAAAGTGAATGCGTTCACTATGTTCACGTAAGGCGCATTGAAACCAATCCGTCCTGTCGCAAACTCAACTCTGTATCGTAAGGCCAACAATGCTAAGGTTAGACACCAACTCTATCAATGACAGAAATAGGTACTTTCCAAATGATAGCATCTACTAAGCGGGCAAAAATTAGGACTATGACAAAACTGAGGACATAACGTAAAATGCTGAACATTTTACGACCAATCAATCATCTGTTGAATCATCTTCGTTCACTTAACGATGGAACGCGTTCACACTTCTTTTCCTTCTTTTCCAGAGGATAGCGATCAACGACTCTGAACAAATCCACGACACTCCCACATACTCATAGGTTTTGATAAATCGAAAGTTTGGTCTTCGTATGACGAAAAGGAAACAGCATATGGTGACCACACAAATAATGAGCATGAGAGTATCTCGTAATATAAGTAAAAACAAAAAAAATAGCTTAAATGAGTACCGTAGCGTCAAGAGGCAGCATTTGTGTAGTAACGCCGCTGGATTGATCGTTAACCTAAATGTATCAAACCCTCCACCAATTTACGAGATATCAAACGGTAAAAGAACCAATTATGAAACGAAAAACCACGATGCGTTTCATGTCAAGTACTACTGTCAGTACTGCCAAGTAATACTAAACCTGAGAAGAGTATAAATCCATACATACTGTCTGTCACAGCGACTCATGGAACGACAAACAAAATGTGGATGTGTCAGTGAATAACAGTGATAGAGACAAATCTTGACGCCGAGTATTCTGTCCTATATCCTCAACTTTTGCTGTGTTCCGCGAGTAGCATTTATGACGAGTTCTAGTAAAGGATAAAAAGGATAGAGCTCTCGGCGTTGATCAATAATCCCTGAGGGAATGGGCCATGCATTCGACTTCCTCAAGTATCGTTTGGAGGTCGAACGTATATTTGGCCTTTATAATGACTCGCGGTGGCCTAGGGATCGAGTCAGTGCTGCTATCCTCCCAGACAAGTCTGGTACCAACTTGCTGACCTCAACGAGATAGGAGGCTTGGTGAGCCTTAGGTGCGGGGATCGATTCCACGTGTGTGTTACAGGGCTCCTCCGACCACTGCGCTACACACGCCCAATTAGTTCTAGTAGAAACGAAAATATCCTGGCTGATATGATACGCAATCTGGACAGGTCAGAATGTGATCCGAGCTAACGAGATTAATAGTAAGCTATACTATTAACAACAAAATAGCAGCTACTATGAGGTCAGCCACATATCACTATGGCCATGAAACGATCGCTTTGTGCGTGTGTGGCCACTGGTACCGCCACCGCCCCACCTCCTCTTCCGCCGCCGCCGCCTCCGCCACCACCACCGCCACCGCCACCGCCACCGCCACCGCCACCGCCACCGCCACCACCTCCGTCATCGCAGTCGCTCGAAATGGTTGGCACATAACTATGCAAATGAGGTGAAATATTCTGGCGAGCGGAAATGAGTGTTTGTACTGGGCTTATGTGGGAGGCGGATGGTGGGCAGCTGGCTAACAGAACGACATTGATGGTGGCCAAAGATAACTCCACAATATCAACAAATACACCATACATACATACGCATATTCTCTGCGATTCTTTCGTTCCATCTCATACAAGCGAACTGATTCATCGGTTTGCTAAGTAAATTATACATAAAGGCTATGAATAACTTGAAAAACAGAAGGTAAACGTTGAGATAAATAGGCAATTCCGGATATGTCGACGACCGGAGAAGGAACTGTACACGAAGAGATTGGAGTATTCATCGAAAACCCTTATTCTATTGAAGCAATGTGTACTTGTGTCAGCGTTACAACACGTTTTATACATATACATACGATCGATTGATAACTGACTGAAAGGAATTCCTCTCTGCAACATCCGCAAGTCATGCACGGCGTTCTTGAGCAAAAACACAGTAAGAACAAATGGAAAAATCGTGACAGAATTACAGAATTTCTTAACAGGAATCTCGTCAAAAACAATAAACGAAGAGTGTTCATAACAAAGCACAAAGCGTAACAATTCCATGGCTCGCCTTCAGATGTGGTACGGTCCATATGGTGGTGCTCGGCACGTTATTGACGATCTAACCTCTATGTCGTCGATAAACGCTCTCGAGCTTTTGTTGAAAGACGTCACACCACATGTTCTTATGACTCATACACTTCTTCCTCTCCTTTTTTCCACTGTTAACTTAAGACTAGGAAATCGGTGATAAAAGTCATCGAAACTGAAATTGGGTTAAGCTTTCCTTTTTCCCAAAGACGTTAAACTCCTTACCAGTTGTCGAAGCAGAACGAATCGTAAGTAATCGGTTGCCATTCACAAAGAAAACGCTGTATTGTTCTTTAGTCATTACAGTCTACGACCAGTAACTTCATAGTCCACTTATTTTATCACGAGAGCACAATGATACTGAGATATGAGCCAAGGTCGGAACATGAGGTGAGCTTTGAACCAGTGATCACTCTTTCCAAGGATTCATATGCAACCAATTGTACTACTGAGTTAAAGGCATCATGAGATCACCGAAACAGAATTCACAAGGTAAATATCATACAATAGAAGAAAGAAGTGGTCTAGTCTACAGTTCAGCATCATTGACACATGAAAGGACAAAAAGGATAAAGTTCTTGGCGTTGATTAATACCTGAGGGATGCACCATGCATTCGATTTCACTAAGTACCGTTGGAGGTGATTGAACGCATATCTGGCCCTTAAAATGACTTGCGGTGGCCCACTGATATATCGAGCCAGTGCTGCTATCCTCCCAGACAAGTCTGGTATCAATTTGCCGACCCCTGAGGGATGAAAGGCTTAATGGGCCATGGGCGCGAGGATCGATTCCACGTGTGTGTTGTAGGGCGCCTCCAACCACTGCACCACACGCGCCCTATTGGCACATACAAGCACGTACTTGTGAAATCACTGTCTTTCACAGATATTTTCTGGACGTGCTGTCAGGTGAGTAATGGTAATCTTGGTGAATTGGCATACGATATCCATAATGATTAAAAAAAAAAGTACAACGTTCGACCTCATAGATGTTAGTGGTGCTAACTAAAAAGACGTACTGTGCGATAATTTCGGCACGAAAATATATTTATAAACAACTGGACTGCAACCAGGAATGTCGATAGCGCGGATCGATATGCTAATTGCCTAGTGGCCAGTGGTGAGTCAGCGAGTCCGACGACGGCCACCGATCGACCTCCGGTGGGCTGGCTCGGCACTGTTCCAGCGATGAGCCCGCCCAACCACGATTGGCCTCATTTACGGGCTTTTCTATCGCGTACACACACACAACGCTAACCAAATGAGCTTGCCGGCAGTAGTCGTTCGAAGACAAAGCGGGAAAAAACCCCTTAGTGAATGATATCCTTCCTCTCTGCTAGAAAAGAGAGCGCCCAGGTTTTGATGAGGACACCAGTGGGCGTAGCCACACGGATAAATGCGGAAGGCGGACAACTGCTATTCGTTGTCATTAATCAATACCTATATTCTACACGCTAGCATTTTTCTTTACCTACGACTTTTCGGGCATTAACGATCGATGTAGGACCAATGATAACGTGCTAAACTGCCCATGTAATCAAAGAACTTTTGATATTTTCTGAGACTACAAAGCTAGGAAAATTATAACGAGGAAGAACTGTTTATAAACAATTAACTATTTTTCTTGATGAGCAAACACGAGGTTGTCACTATTTATTAACACATAATAGCTGACGTTTCGGCGGTTTCGCCTTCATCAGAACCCTAGTGCGACTACAAAACGCTGGTTAAGAACCACCAATAAACAGAATTTGCTAGCAGTGATTGTAGTATCACTGGACACTCTCAGACACCACCTGGTTCGTAGCCACCTGTATGACCATCGATATAAAACGTAAAATTACACTGTATATCCCAGCGGTGGAGATGGAGATTGCATGAATTCTCGCATGGTTTACCTGATCTCTTGTGAAGCGTGTGAGGACGAATACGTTAGTCAAACGTGTAGACCGCTCAGCCTCCGATTAAAAGAACTAGTCGCTGAATTTAAAGTGAAAGCAAACACTCCACCAAGGATACAGAAACGTAACGGAAATTTTGAAGTAGAAGTCAGTATCCTCGTACAGGTATCCAAGACGCGTAAAAGGGTGTGAAACCCTTGAAATCTCTTGGATGAATTCTAAAAATCCAAAAATGAACCGCAAGGAAGTGTTTTGTGATCATGCGTGACCTAGTTCCATACCACAGGCTCACATTTTGAGTTAAACCAGGCACATTACTCGCTCATGTAGGACTATGTGCAGCTGGTATCCACCAAAATAACTGTAAGACATAATGAACGCATCAACAAGCGTTGAAGAGAAGCTGTTTATTATGCGAATGGGAATTTATGCGTTAAATTTTGTCTGTCGAGGTTATGGAAGTGTTTGGTTGACTGGATTGCACGTGAGTTTGACCATTCCAGGCTTTGAAGAAGTCGAAATCGCCGAAACGTCAGCTATCGTATTAATAAATGCTGCAATAACAATCTCGTGTTTACTCACCAAGAAAACCTGTGAATTACTGGTCAATGCCGAGATTAAAAGAGGGTTCTTTTTAAAAATTATTGCCAACTATAGGTTAAATCTAATGGAATTTATTTATTCTTTATGTTCTTGTTGAGCAACAGGTGGTGTTCTTTTATTCTTTATTCAAGAACGGGCAGACTTTGGCCAGGCTGACCTCGGGATTCCAGGGAACCACAATGGCTTAACCTGCAAATCTCCGGAAAATGGAGATTACACTAGGGTTCGCACAACCAGTGAGGGCGCACCATTCAAGTATCAGGTACCAAGTAAGTAATAGAATAGACATAAAACAAGTCAAATCAGGGAAATAATCAGCAAATATCGTACTACCACTTACAGATAAATCGTTTCGTCTTCAGACTTGAAATTTTTGCACTTGAAACAACACGCGAATTGTTCGAACACCATTGTGGACGATGAATACGAGGCAAACAAATCGAATGCAAGTGCTGGGATCCGCATAGTAGATGACGGGTTATGTAAAGTGTTAAAAAAACAATTTCTCTAATTAAAGCCAAACCATTTGGTCTCGCAATCGGATAAACAATGTATATAATATTACTCTTCTCTTGATAAGTTAACACGCGGTTGACAAGAAACTTTATTCAGTAAACGTTTCGGCGCTCTCATCTTCTGTCGAGCCGGATTGACAAGAGTCGACTATTCGCAATCGTTCATTCTTTCGATGTGAATGAAGCACCACTCGATTCAAGTAACCCCACTAAGCATTGGTCTCTCGCACAACACCATTGTTGACACTGATTGTCCGTTGATAATCATTTTTCTCCAGACAATCCATCCTACAGTAGTCGGTATCACTACCAGCTAGCATAGAGCGCAATAGTATTTGAACCTTTACCTGTGAGAGTTTATCAATGAACGAATACACACTGATTAGTCATGCCTAGATTAAAGTGAAGTTTGTTTTTGGAATAATATCTATAATTTCAATGAAGCTGAGATATACGCAAAACTCCGGACCGCAGGTGTCCGCGATAAAGAACATACGCGCTATTGTCCTTCCCGGGGAGTAACGCGTTCACCACCATACCATGCGGGTCCTTCGTTTCGCCTGTCTCTCAGCTAGTTCTATCGATTTGTGATTATAACTAAAGCCTCAGCTAAACTGGGTTCATTGCCGATTTGAGCTCACCAGATCAATCCCGGTAACGGATGATTGATGACGGCAAAAGATCGATAGAACTAGCTGAGAGACAGGCGAAAAGAAAGACCCGCATGGTGTGGTGGAGAACGCGTTACTCCCCGGAAAGGACAATAACGCGTTCGTTTCCTGCCTCAGACACCTGCGGTCCGAAATTTTGCCATATCTGAGCTTCATTAAAGTTATATTTTGCAATATACCCTGCCATTAAAAAAGACTAGGCAGTAAATAAAACGGTTACGAATATCTATAATATTTGGAAGCCCAGAGATTTTTGCTGTATTTCACCAATAAATAAAAAAGGATAAAGCTCTTGGCGTTGATCAATCCCTGAGGGATCCGCCATGCATTTGACTTCATTAAGTATCGTTGGAAGTGACTGAATGCATATCTGGCCTTCACAATGACTCGCGGTGGCCTACCGATGTATCGAGCCAGTGCTGCTGTCTTCCCGGACAAGTGTGGTACCAATTTGCCGACCCCGGAGGATGGAAGGCTTGGTGAGCCATGGGTGCAGAGATCGATCCCACGTGTGTGTCGCAGTGGCGCCTTCAGCCAGTGCGCCACACGCGTTTCGCCAAAAGTGTCCACATTTTTGAAAGTTTTGTTTTGTTCTTTTTTATCACATTCGCGATAAAAAAAATGGAAAAAAATAAAGTGAGAAGGTAACCGTGTAGATAACGGGCAGTGGTCCT